CCCCCCACCCCCCCCCCCCCCCCCCCCCCCCCCCCCCCCCCCCCCCCCCCCCCCCCCCCCCCCCCCCCCGCGCACACTACCTCACTCAATATTAAAGCGTCCTGCCGTTGACTCGAGAGTCGCGTTTTTGGTCTCTCTGCTTTCTTGTCAGTCAGTCTGGTCACTCTCTACCTATTCAGCTTCGTCTTTTTGGTCGTTTTCCTCCTCCTCCCCTACTCCTCCTCCTACTCCCTCTCCCGTCGAAGCAGAGCTCTGGTAGTTCTAGCAATTACCTCCGTCTTTGCATCTTTGGGTTTCTTCGTGTCCATTTCCTTCTAGTTGGTTGCTCGCATTGCGTTTGCGTTGTATTGTCCGATACCACAACCAATTCTCTTCTCACATCCTTTTTTATTTTTGCTTCTTATTTGTTTCTTCATAAGATCCGGGATCTGTAACTTTTTCTTCCCTTCCTTTCTTCTTCCTCTCCGACACCTCGACGGCAACTCGGTTTCTTCAGAACCATTACGATCACGGCATTTTGCAGCGATATTGACTGAACTCGTCCGGACACGCAAAGCAAACAAGACTCTTGGAGATATTGGTAATACAGCATTCTTTCCCGACACAAGAAGACCTTTCGGCTCGGCGCACACTTTCTCTTCATCCGGTCAGCTAAATCCGGCAAGTTGATTTGAATCCGCTGCTACTGCTGCTACCCTGGGTCGACGACACCACCACCACACCACGTGCGAATATCGTGCATCAAGCCAGCTGCAACTAGACGGTACCGGCACACCAGTCACGCGCATCTCGCCCAATAAAGGGATTCGAGTTATTGCATCTTTTGCTTCGAATCTCTTGAAATAGAACGAACGACTCTGCGCCAGTCATCATCGTCAGCATCTGCATCTTGCTGCACCCGACACTCCACGCCACGCCACGCCACGCACAGTTCGATACCTACCTATACTTTTGGGTCTTCCAGGTTCCTGGGTTAGGTTCCCTTAAGGCTTTGAAAAAAGGCACTCCGTTCTCTCAGGTAGCAAGGACCTGCATGCTGCAGTTCGTCAAAAGGTGTCATTACCTCATCTTGTCTCGACTCCCTATTCTCTCTTTCCATTCACCAACCGAAGGTAGCTTACCTTACCTTACTTAACCTGCCCCTTCGCGCGCTAAAGCCAAAGTAAGCGAGCGACATTTGACTGCCGCCAACCGGTAGTCCGCAACCTCCGGCCGCTCCTTCTCCCTGGGCAGGTTCCATTAAGGTATCCATCCTTCTCACACACCTCGGACCCTGGACCACGCCAAAAAACCAAAACCCGCCCCACGCCCAGTGTCACTCCGTCGCGACAAAGCCGTCGCTCGGCCTTGGTTTACAGGGTTCGCATTGTTGCAAGACACCCCAGGCTATTATTACCTACCCGACATCTTAGCCTGCTATCGCTGTCGCTGTCGCTGTCGCTGTCGATACACGTCGCGGCCACAAGTCTACGGATACCACGTCGACATCTCCGACACCACGACGACAACCACGTCTTACCCGGTCTTAGCTCGCTTCCTCCCCCTAACCCCCGTCGCGGAGAGCCACTATTCTTGACCATGTCAGGCTTCGTTTCCTCACCCACCGCCCTGCACCCCGCCCTCAGTAATCCGCTCCCGCCGCCGCCGCCGCCGCCGCCTCTGTCTCTTCTTCACTCTTCTTCGGAGGCAGTTAAAACCTCGCTCTCCGACCGGCCCAAAAGCTCTAATGCCGCTCAGGGCTCCAACCAGCGTCAGCGTCCATCCACCTCTTCTTCCGAGTCCGCCTCTACTTTCCTCAGCCAGTCTCTGCCTCGCAATGCCGGTTCTCTAGCAGAGTCTTCCTTCCCAACCGAGCTCGTCCAACGCGGCAACGCCGCAGACGCTGCAACTGAGAACCCGTCCTCTTCAACAACTACTTCTACTGCTGCCGCATTTCCCGAGCTGCCTCCTCCGTCGCGGTCCTCGCCTGCGCATCACGGCCACCCTTCCAAGGGCCATCGCCGTAACGCCCCTTCACACGAGGTTCCCCGCCAGACTATTATGAAAGCGTTGGCTTCCGTTGTCCGCAGGAACAAACCCGAGGCCCTTTCTCTCACAGGCATGCTGTCCGCACAGGGTGGAGTTGATAACCGACCCGCCACATCTTCGTCTCAGAAGCTTGCCGACGCCCTCAACGAGCTCGCCAACCGCAACATGACTCCCACCACCGCTCTGCCTTCTTTACAGTCTCCGTGTTTCTACCACAACCGCTTCGACGATGCCGTCAACATCGACAAAGTACTCGAGGAGATCAAGAACGACGACTGCATGTCTCACTCCAGACTTGTCCAGACCGCCACCGGCGTCCGGGAGGTCTCCAAGCAGCTTCAACGTCGCCCAATCAAGCGTGCTGTCCGCAACGTCATGATTGTCACAAAGGCTCGCGACAACCAACTTGTCTACCTCACAAGAGAGCTTGCTTCTTGGCTGCTGCGCACTCCTAGGTACGGTTCCGATGTCGGCGTCAACGTCTACGTCGATGCCAAGCTGCGCAACTCTCGTCGCTTTGACGCCAGCGGCCTCGTCGCCGAGAACCCTGCTTTCCAGGACATGCTCCGCTACTGGACTCCCGACCTCTGCTGGAGCCAGCCCGAGAAGTTCGACCTGGTCCTTACTCTTGGCGGTGACGGCACCGTTCTCTTCACTTCCTGGCTGTTCCAGCGCATCGTTCCTCCCGTCTTGTCCTTCAGCTTGGGCAGTCTCGGCTTCCTCACCAGCTTTGAGTTCGAGAAGTACAAGCAGCATCTGGACCGCATCATGGGAGAGGACGGCATGCGTGTTAATCTGCGCATGCGCTTCACCTGCACCGTCTACCGGGATGGCGCACGAGGCGAGGAAGCTGAGGAGGGCGAGCAGTTCGAGGTCCTCAACGAGCTGGTCATCGACCGCGGCCCGTCCCCCTACGTCTCCAATTTGGAGCTCTATGGCGACGATGAGCTTCTCACCGTTGTTCAGGCTGACGGCTGCATATTCTCGACCCCGACCGGCTCGACTGCCTACTCATTGTCCGCTGGGGGATCGCTGGTCCATCCCGACATCCCCGCGATCCTCCTGACACCCATCTGTCCTCACACGCTATCCTTCCGCCCCATGGTGCTATCCGATACCATGCTGCTCCGCGTGTCCGTCCCGCGCAACTCACGTGCTACGGCTTACTGCGCTTTTGACGGCAAGGGCAGAGTTGAGCTCAAGCAAGGTGACTACGTTACTATAACGGCGTCACAGTACCCCTTCCCAACCGTCGTGCGCACCCAAACCGAATGGTTCGACAGCGTTTCCCGCACTCTTCGCTGGAACACCCGCGCCGCCACCCAGAAGGGTTTCGATTCTTCAGCCAATAGCCTTTGCCCCTCCGAAGACGGCAAGGACGACGAGCCTGAGTGGGATATCGACACTGACTCGGCCTGCTACGCCAGCGAAGATGGTAGCATCAGTGCGAGTCCATTGAGGAGACAGATGAGCCTGTTGGGCATGTGATTTCGTTTTTGGGGGCAAGGAAAGAAAAACAGCAGGGGCATTGTCATCACCATTCCCCGACGATTATTTAACGGCAAAAGGGCACTCCCTCAGCCCTGCATCGGCCCTCCTAAGCGACGTGGGTTAGACGCATCTTGTTTTCGTTTGCGCCATTTTGATTGATAGATTTGAGCGATCTGAGCATGGAAAGACGCATGACGCACGTGTTAAGGGCAGCCAGAACCAGACCGGACACGCCAGCACGCGCGCGACTGAATACTAGAGCAATGGACATCGCTTGGTGCGGTTCCAAGCATAGCATATATCATGGGTGAGTCTCGGGGATTGAGACACCTTAGTTTCAGAGTGGAGGGAGAGAAGATGAATGGAACCATCCTCGCTTTCAGAGAGTCCACAATCCACAACTTTCTCTGCTAGCTAGTAGAAGTGGTTCAAGTATAAATAACTTTAATTACCCTGCCTTTGACTGCCCGGATCTGGTGCGTGCATCATGTGAACTCCCCCTCCCCTCCCTGCTCTAGCCTCTTCATACTCATCGTCTTCACTTCTGCGGAAGCTATTTCGATGCAAAGTGGCTCATGCAATGGGCCGCATTTTGTGAAGAAGGGCATCAGACAAGACCATCTGTCGTGAACCGCCGCATCGCAGGCTGACAATGTGGACAACAGAGAAACAGAACTAAGAGAAATCTTTGTGACTCCTCCAGGGGTTGCCTACAAACGCTATTTATACCTGAGCTACAGATCCCCTACCTTCAGGTTGTCCGCTCTCATGTCAACATTTTGAATCTAATGAACCATGCAAATCGTCTCTCATCTATTCGACCTACGCGCATGGGGAAAAAGCCAACATACTGGCAAGGCCAGAGTAAAACACCGTGTTGAAACTAAGGCCTCGTATCAACAACGTACACAAACACTCGCGGAGGACTCTCACGAGGAGTCCTTTTCAAACGTTTAACCGGCATGCCTGCGCTGACGCCCGTTGTCGGTCTACCTGTCTCTGATTTCACATTTGACTTGTTCGCCGAGGCGTCATTAAGCTTCAGCTGGTCCAACAACATACAACAGCAACGACGACAGCAAACATCCGGACGCAACCCACTTGCAGAGCCATATCTACAACCATATCCAACGTACCCAACCAAGCATGCGTCAACCCAACATGCAACTGACACGAAATCATGACAAACATCGCCACTCAGGCCGTCGCCCGAGCCTCGTCTCCCAATGGCCGATACCGTCCGGCTCTGAGCAAATCGCTTGTTCCAAAACTCCATGATATCTGTCATGAGACTGCCCCTCCGCAGTCTGGCATAGGCGTTTCTGCCGCCTAGACTGGAGGAATTGCCACAGGTAACCTTTCGTCTGAAGGTGGTCGTCCTGGCCGGTGTGGAATCACCCATGTGCCGAGCCATCATCTCCAATTTCCTTGGCTTAGCGACAGTAGTCCCGCGATGCAATCCATGTCTCCCTTCTTGCTTGGGCTGACCTCACCGCGCATGAATCTCTCCACTTCGTCCGTAGGCTTTGGTGATTGTGCATCGTCCTCGTCTTCGAAGATCGAAAGATCCTTTCCGGAGTCTCGACGGCCCATTGCCGGCATCGTCCTGGCGCGATTACCACTGAAGATGACCGGTCCAGGGTGGTCCTGTAGAACGCGTCCCGTCCGCCTCGCGTTAGGCTGGCTAGCTGTCGTGGTGGGTATTGGCCTTCGGGGCTCTTGAGACGATGGAACCCGCCGCGAATGTCCTTCGTCATCTGGAAGCCAGTTCTCCTTATCAGAATCACCCGACGGAGAAAGGAGCATGTTGAGCTGGAGCTTTCTTGGTTCCGTCTTGTGTACGGGTCCATTAACGCTCTCGACGACGTCTACCAGCGGGGTTTGTATCCTGGCCGCGCTCGAAGACGTCCGACTCAGCTTCGGTTTCTTGGCTTGCTGCGATCGAGTCATCGATCTGCTAGCTGGGGAGTTCCGCTTGGAATTGTTATTTTGAAGAACACCGCTGGTTGAGCGCAGTAGACTAATAGCAGCAACAGCAGAACCGTTAGACTCGTTCTCTGCCTGTGCAGTCAGCTCATCACGGGTGTCCGCGTCGCAGCACAGCTCCCATGCATGAGCATCTCGAGATCGCCCCCGTGACATCGTCGGTGGCAGCGAGTCGGTCAGAGCCGATATAGGAGGCAAAGTCACGCTAGGCAGTGCGCTGTGACTCCGCTGAAAAGGCCGTGACCTGACCTGTGGTAGACTCGAAAGATCGGAGAATATTCCGGTGGACTGAAGTCTTGGGGGAGACGCCTCGTTAGAGACCAGCTCCGCCTTGCCCTCGAGAGACAGAGACAGGCGCACGTGTGACTGAGGAGGGGGGAGAATGGGCGCTGCGGACGCGGTAGTTTCGGCGGAAGACGGCGGGCATTGACCAGATCTGCAATATGTGAGTCGAGCTGTGGCAGACGAAGAGCCACACGGGTCGTACCTTGGTGTGTCGTCTGCACTGCGGTTGAGCGTGGACGGCGTAGAGAATGGACTAGCAGGGTTCCAGCGATTGGACAGGAATCCGATGGAGCTTGAGAAGGAGAAGGATGCGGACTGAGGTTGAGATGCAGGGCCTGACAGTTGAGACGACGGAGTTTCCAAGGTCTTGCATTCCGTATTCGTGGTGCTGATAGACGGGCTGATGGTCCGGGGTGCCTCAACCGCACCCACGGCTCCCGTGTAGGCGGGCTTGACCGGAGTCTCCATCGGCGGAGGGCCGTTTGTGGAAGCGCAATCCGCCGCGGGCGACGTCGTCTCTTCGGGAAGTGAAGAGCTATAGGCCAATGGATCGGAGGAGAGGGGCACCATGCCACCATTGCGGATAGCAGCAATCTCTTGAGCAGAGAGTGGACGCGACTTGCGTCTATCATTCTGACGACGGTTCTGGAACCATATCTTCGTGTCTGGTTAGCAACTGGGCAGGCCAAGACCGGAGCAAGGTGGTAGATTTACTTGAACCTCCTTCTCGTTGAGGGAAACGCGCTTCACGATTTCCAGACGCGCCGCCTTGTCTGGTTTGGCGTTTGCAAGATAGGCATTCTCGAGAATAGTCTTGTCTTTGGCTCTAGAGACCAAAGTCAGCATTTGGAACGCGATTACGCGACCCAATGGACGCAGCCAGGCCACCTACGCAGTCCTCTTCCTCTTTCCTTTTGGGTGCCTCTCGGGTTCGGGATGCGACACGTCTGTCGTCGGTGTTGTTATTGTTGTTGATGGCGAGGGCTGGGAGGGTTCCGAGGTGAGCTCTGTGGTGAAATGCTCGAGCTGTGAAGACGAGTCACTCGAAGACGGGGGAGAGTTCGTCACGGCAGAAGTCGATACCGGAGGCGAGAGGTCGGAGGCGGACATGGTGGTAGTTAAGCTTGGTTACGAACGAATGGCGATCATGGTCCGGGAGGGACTGGACTGGCGTATGTAGGTGGAAACACGACACGATACTGCAGGAGAAGAAAACAAAAGAGAAGTCGAAGCCGATGTCAAGTGATGCACCTTCGCAAGCAGGAGGAAGAGGGAGAATGACGAAGAGAGGTTCAAGGAACGAGCGAGGTGGGGAAGCAAAGCGTCGAGACACGACACGGCGCGGTTATTCGTAATTAGGTACGGTGAGGTACGGTCTGATGCGGTACAGCACCCTTGGTGTTGAACACACAGCGCGTCTGGGCCCGACTTAGGCAAGGTTCCGCCCCATATGCAGGCGCTAAGACAGGTACATCCGCGGTACCTGTCCCACGGCGCGATCGCGGGCACGAGTCCCCACAACCCACCGCGCACGAATTGGATCTCCCAGCGTGAACTGAGGACCTGTGCTAATTGATGTTGATGTACCTTACCTTACCTTACCTTAATTACCTTCCACGCAACGTTGGTAAGTCACCTTGCCTACCTACCTTGCCTTGCTTACCTAGGTAGATACCAACGAATAATAAGTAGGTAGGTAGATAGACGGGAGAAGAGACAGCAGGTCGGGTAAGTAGGTAGGTAGGCAAGGACGACACGGAGGTACGCAGCGCTGTGCTAAGGTAGGTAGGCAAGTGCCTTTGCCCAATGCTCGGACCAGTCAAGTCGCGTGTCTGTTGTCAATTAGGAAATCAAACAAAAAACATTAGATTTGGTCTCCCCGGGATACACCACCAGCAGAAACTGAGTGATATCCGTGTTAATTTAAAGTGTTCGCATTGTTTACTCCTGTAACCTAGACTGGGATTGAACGTCGGCCCGGTGTTCGTGAAAACATGGAGTCACTCTCGCGACAGCGCCAAGAGTAGAATGCATACGACTGCATTGGACACCTCTTCCTCATACCTCTAATTACCTAGGTAACCCTGAAGATGATTCACACATCGTTCTTTGAACACAACCTCACGGAGAGTTTTGAGCAGCCCCATGCTAAGACGTCTAGTCTCAATGACGATCTATGCATAGGGCACATAGTTAGCCGCAGTATAGTTGGTCCTCTCTCGGACTGATAGACCCTGTCTCAATCTGCTCTTCGCCAAAAACGCGTCGCAGACCCTGGTCTGCACATGGTGAAATGTCCCTCTTGCGCCTCTCCGGTTGTTTTCTGGTTCTCCGCCCCCCGGGCCCGTCCCCAGAATTGGCTTATTCCGCTTGCAAAGCGCGCGTTCCAATGGGTCTTGTTCACTCGACTTTCCGGTGCATGTAGAATACAGCGGCGCCCGCCAAAGGTTGGCACCCATCATCGTCCACTTAGGCTGCCGAGCAGATTCGGCGACGTCCGCGCAGAAACCTTCGACTTGAAGGAAGCATCGTCGAATGAGGTTTGGACTTCTGCACGGAGAGTAGGGAATTCCGAACTTTCACCATCTCGACGTTTCTCTTGGGACATGGGTACGAAAACTGCCATTGACACCGCACTCCCCCATCTCCGTACCTCGCTAACTATGGAATTGCTATCTAATTACATGCATACGTCGTGTCGTCTGCTATGCCTGGCACGAAGAGTATGAGGGGAAAAGGCGGCCCTCGACACCGTGATCTGGAGCGTGAGGACTCAGTGTTCATCTTGTAAGGCGTCAAACTACTCAAAGTATGCTGGCCGTCTAGCAGCAAATGTAAGGCCCTCCCATCCTGCTCCGAATCTACCAAATGAACCGGCCGCGCCGTTTTCTACCATGATGGCCATGACCAGCAGTCGCCGGTCTGCGCCAGAGAATTCCGGTTCACGATGCCCTGTTGGCCACTCCGTCACGCGGTTGGACCATCATCCAAGTCTCGTTTCTATCTTTACAAATCCTCGTCAGAGAGCTCGCCGGGCAGGGGCATGTTGGCAGCCTCGTCCATCTCCTTGCGGTACTGCTCGAGGAGCTTTTCGTCGACCTGGGCGGTAGGAGGGGCCAGAGCCGGCGCGGCAACGAATTCCTGTTGATCTGTCAGTTTTCACATATCGCCAACGGCTTCACGCAAACAAGCTTACCAGAGCGGGGTTGCCGACGAGCTTGCGCGCAAGCCAAAGGAAGGGCTTCTCGAAGTTGTAGTTGGACTTGGCCGAAATGTCGTAGTACTGGAGGTTCTTCTTGCGGTGGAAGGTGATGGTCTTGGCCTTGACCTTGCGCTCCTTCACGTCGACCTTGTTGCCGCAGAGGACAATGGGGATGTTCTCGCAAACGCGGACGAGATCGCCTGTGGGTTTTGTGTGAGCCATGCTGATCGGAAAGTTTTGATTCCGTTGGGATTGGCGAATATCGCTCGTAGGGTTTTTACGTACGGTGCCAGTTGGGAACGTTCTTGTAGGTGATGCGGGAGGTAACGTCGAACATGATGATACCGCACTGGCCGTTGATGTAGTATCCGTCACGGAGACCACCGAATTTCTCCTGGCCAGCGGTATCCCAGACGTCGAACTGGATCTGACCGAAGTTCTACGCAGGCTTGAATTAGGATGCTTGATCGACACGAAGCGGGGACAGGGCATAATTTTTCCCCCCGACGGGCACTTACGGTGGTGAAGCCAAGAGGGTGAACCTCAACACCCAAAGTAGCCATATACTTCTTCTCGAACTCACCAGTCAGGTGGCGCTTGACGAAGGTGGTCTGTTTTTTGTCAGTAAGGAACAGAGAAGTCAAAATTGGCGGCATAGACCGGAACAGAGACGATTGAACGGCCGAAATGAGGAAGCAGGCGCAATGCTGATAAGGACGCTGGGGAACTCTGAAAGAAAAGGCGGACTGACCTTTCCGGTACCACCATCGCCGACAAGGACGAGCTTGAAGGTGGGTGTCTGCTGAGCGGCAGCCATGTTTGCGATCGCTCGATGATTTGGCTCGGTGCGAGTCTGATATAACCAAGCGGGGCTGATCGAGGGGTTAGCAGTCGGCGCAAACAAGAGAAAATCGTATCGGTCGAAGACGGTCGAAATGAGGCACTGGGCGGGAGGGTGGCAGATATGCCGTGGGAGCGAGCGAGGCTTACCGTAGAGAGACAGCGAAAACGGGCTGTTGGCGTTTGACGTGTAGAAATCGTCACCGACTGATCGACTTTGGGGGGGTGTTGTTTTTGAGGATGGCGGGGAGCTTGCAAGGAAGCCGTACTTCTTAAGCGAAAAATTCAGTCAGGCAGGCCAACGGAGTCGGGTAGGCACGATTGGGCTAGGCGGCCTGTCACGTGCATGGCTGTCTCCTCATAGCGGGGCCCCTGTCAAGGCCCTGCCAAAATGTTCGTGCAGTACCTTACCTGGGCTACCTATCTACATTAATTAGCGGGCAGCCACGCAGGACGACCTGCCGGCGTCCTACCTCGTAGAAGCCCAGAGGCACAAGAAGCCAAAGCCAACACAGAAGCGAACTGGCAAAACACACCATCCCAGCTTACACATACCTGGCGCTAGTCGCAGTTCGAATCTATTCAACAGGCAGGCCCACTGGCCTGTCACTGTCAGGTTGCCACTCAGCATCGAAAGCCACGAACGATCTCTCCGTTCCATTCATTACCCCTGGATGGATTTTTATTCTGTACTACCTTACCTCAGATACCCGACGAACACGATACCTAGGTGTGGAAGGATGCGAGCCCGACCTGCGTAGTCATTTTCAGTACTCCAGTCCAATGATCTTACTGGTCATTGTTTGCTGGTTCCTAGCACTCTGCTTGATTATCTGGTTGCCTTCGGTTCATCTCCTTTCTCATTGGTTGATATTTGACAGGCAGCAGAGACGCTCTCTCCATGAATGACTGACATCGCAGCCTTACGATCCCTCCCCGGTATCGTCGTGACTCAGTCATCTTCTTCTGCGTTTTGCATTGCGATTCGTCCAGCCAGAGAGAAAATCCTCTCTTTGTCAGGCTGATGTTCCACCACCACTGCATCTCTCAAAGGGGCAGGATATGACAGCCCAACAAACCTCTGCCGCCCCAGTTGCGCGTCGGAATCAGAGTAAGCTGCAGTTCCTGTCGCAAGCTTGAACCAGGACGCGAAACACGCACCAGCAATGGTTGCTTGAGACTTGTCAGCGCCATATACGGCCACCTAAGATTATGAGAATGATCCACTTACACCTTCGTTTCCTTGCACACATTCGGCCACCTTCTTAAGATTGTCGTGGTTAGAACAATTGACGTAACCAAAGTTGCGAATCTCGTCCTGCGGCTTCAAGCCAGCGGTGTCGGCCGGGCCCCCAGGCACAACGCTGTTGACCTTGGCGAAAGGCTCCTGCAGCGGCTGGGCCGGGGAATGGCCCGCGAGCAAGCCGGCATTGCCCGTCGAAGGTGAGATCTGAACTTCGTCGTTCTCTTGAAGACTGGCGAAGTGCTCATGGAGATGCTTTTCAACCAGAGCCATGAGATCTTTGTAGTCGTTGCGAAGGTGGATGATGCGGGCTCTGGTGGTGCGCACTGCCGATTCAAGGTTAATCAGCTAGACCGCGAGCTTGCAAGCAAAAGTGGTCTACCTTGCGCAACGTCGATATCGGCCCGTGGAAATCCATCTCGAGTGGTGAGAGGAGTGTTCATGTCGACTCCGTGCTATTGAATCGGTCAGATAGAGCTCTTGACCGAAACACCGCGGCAAGGGCGTCCGGGGTTCTCAAATACAGAATCGAGTACTGCGCCCAAAGCTTTGAGCTCAGCCTCCGTGTCGTCCTTCTTTCTCTGTAGCTCAGCAAAGGTCAAGCGGTTGAAATGGCCATTGGTTGAGGCGTTGGTACTCGGGCCCGAAGGCACCGTGGGAGCGTGTATGTTATTCATCCTGAGCGGCAATCCCATCGTCGTCGGTGAGTACCGACGAATCGTAGGCCGTGGCGCACAGTCGATATTCCCGTCTTCTTCGCTGGGTTCATACAGGCCAAGTCGTGTGCGTTATCAGGCCTTCTTTCTTTCAAATCCCACTTAGACGGTCCGTACTGCCCCTGCCCCGCGTTGGCTACCTTAACGTAAGGTAAGGTAGGCAAGGTATGTAGGCAGAAAGATGACGGATGGGCTCCTGGGCGGCGATTCTCTGCTGCGGGAGGCAGGCGGTCTGGCAGAAAGGAACCTGGAAACCTTGGGCTGGGAGGTGGTGTGGAGTCTTACGATGACAGCATCAGCCGAGACATGCTGACTAAGGTAAAGCAAGCAAAGAAAGCAAAGACGTCCGGGACAAGATAAGATAACGACCTGAGGCCAGACGGGTTAGAACGCGTCCTGAAGCTGGTTCAGCTCCGGCTACGTCTTCAATACTGTGCCCAATTTCAAGCATCCGTACCGACGTCGCATCACTTCGACATTAGTTCCTCCTTTCCATCGCCTCGTTTAGTAAAGCTTAGCGGCTTGTGTCAATCATGGCGACCGGTGTCGATGCAAAGCTGCTCAAGTCGACCAAGTTCCCGCCGGAATTCAACCAGAAAGTTGACATGCAAAAAGTCAACCTTCAGGTGATGAAAAAGTCTGTTTCTCGCACAACCGACTCGTTCAGTTGCTGATTATTCCCGCTAGATGGATCGCGAGCAAAATTTCCGATATCCTCGGCAGCGAGGACGATGTCGTCATTGAGCTGTGTTTCAATTTGATCGAGGGCTCCAGATTCGTAAGTATAGGCCTCTCCTCCTCCAAACGTGGCCTCGACTTGCTGACGGCCAACAGCCTGACATCAAGTCTCTTCAGATTCAACTCACTGGCTTTTTGGACAAGGACACAGGCCCCTTCTGCAAGGAGCTATGGAAGTTGTGCTTAAGCGCCCAGACTAGCCCCCAAGGCGTTCCCAAGGAGCTTCTGGAGGCCAAAAAGTTGGAACTGATTCAGGAGAAGGTTTGCGAATCTTTGATGACCTTTCAGCAAGCAGTAGCTGACGACAGCTCTAGATCGAAGCAGATCGCGCCGCAGACGAAGCTCGCCGCCGACGTGAAGATGCCGAAAGACGAGAACAAGAAATAAGCCGTTTACGGGACCGCGACCGTGGTGACCGTGGTCGCGGCCGTGGGGATACATGGCGCGGCCGTCGCGGCGACAGAGACTTCGATCAACGAGGCAGAAATGGTGGTCGTTTTGGCGAAAACAGATCAAGGTCACCGGCTCCAAGATATCGCGACCAGCGGGAGAGAGGTTCGTTTCGCGGGTCACAGCGTGACACCTACGTCCCTAGAGACCGCCTTGCAGCTGGTAGAGGCTCTGGTCGTCGACGCGGTGCCTCTCGCTCGCCCTCCGTTGCATCCGCAACCTCGCGGGCTACATCTCGAAGTCGTAGTGCCGAGCGCGGATCTACTCGTGGATCTCTATCACCACCTCGAAGGTCTCGCCGAGACCGCAGCTCATCCGGCAGCCGACCTGCAAGAAATCGATCCAGGTCACCCAGACGGGGTGCTTCAAGTCACCGTGACGCACGACGGAAACGTAGCCCGTCGAGCAGCCGGTCAACCGCATCACCTTCGCCAGGCAGGACAAAACGACGCAGGTACTCCCCGTCTCGAAGTCGCTCTCCAGGCGTCGACAGAAGATCTCGGGGCAGGTCTCTGAGCAGTGCATCATCACGAAGCTCGAGATCCCACAGCAGAAGTCCAAGACTTACCGGTCGCCGAGTAGAGACCCGCGATGAGAAACTTCGGATTAGCTCCCAGGGAGAGCGTCGCGGCGACAGTGCGTCCCGCTCGCCAGAACGTGAGGCACGCGACTGCAAATCAACCGACAGAAGCAAAGAGCACAGGAACCGAAGACGGGAGCTGGACGGCTCAATCGAGCCTAGACGTCGTAATGCGTCATCGGTCTCATCAAGGCCAGGCCTTGACGACAAATGAGGGAAAGTTGATTCCCATTGTCATGAGAACAAGGAACAAAGATGATAAGCTCGAATACCGGCTCTTCTGGTAATGGCTGAGGCTAACCGTCTACGAAGGTCTGCCGACCACAACAACGTGCGATGCCACAAGATGCTTCTGAGGGTTCATGGACGGGACGGGCTGTACTTGGCGCCTAATTTGGTACGTCGACTGTATTTCTCTGGTCTAGCAAATCACGCTGCCTACTTCGAAACCTCGATTACACGTTGGCCCAACAAGCCATTTGATTATGGATCGCCATTCGGTCTGGTCGTCCGGGGAGCATTGGGTAGTTAGCACGCGGAAGAGAGAGAAAAAAGCAATGCATATTTCTGGAAAAAATACTCTCAAATACAAAATCCAAAGATGATCGTTGCAGTCGCCAACCTACTACGTCCGTCTATTCTTGATGCCACAGCAGAACAACTCACAGCGCTGTGGGATCGAAAATCCTCAACATTGTGTTGGTCCAACCCCCTTGCTCGGAGGGGTACAACACATCTGACCTGGTGCTATCACAATTGCTCCAGTAATTGTGACACACGCTGACGAAGCCCTGCGAGTGGCACTGTCTCCTTGATGCCTAGCCTTCTGCATTGTATCTCGCAGTTGCCAGTTTGCTTCCAGACCTTGCCAAGAACGACGACAACTGGGTACCCAACGAGGTCGGCATCCTTCAACTTCCACGGAAAAGACACCTTGCGATCGTCCAATACCGCATCTATGCCCACTGAGCCGTCCGCGGGGTTTGTAATCTCGTCATATGCCCTGGCAGCCTCTTCGGCCAAGTCTGTTGCCGGAACGATGACCGTCTCATACGGAGCGATGGCTCGAGGCCATTGCAACCCTTTTTCGTCTGCCAGATGCTCAACAACAGCACCGATCAGTCGAGACACGCCGATGCCGTGACAGCCCATTTGCATTGCCGATGCCCTCTCCGCCACTGCTTGCACGTCCGAGTCACTGCCGGAATCCAAGCCAGCAGGAATAGAGACAGTCGCACCGAGAGGTTCTGAGTATCGTGTTCCTAGGTGGAAAGTGTGACCCACTTCCAAGGCTTTCCGTGTCTTCAGGATACCACCATCGCAGCTGGGGCATCTGTCGCCCGAACGAGCGGCAAGGACGTTCAGTCCTTGGCCATCGCTGCCCTTCGCGACCGTGATGATGTCTATCTCGGGCATCACTGTGGCAGATTGTAATAAAGGCCATAGTCGTCCTTGCTGATGAAGCAGCTCATCCTTCTTGCTCGCTAACCTGAAGTCCACCAGATTGATTAGCGTTGGACGCCTCTTCATTCTCTCCCCACTCATAGACTCGGGTGCGACAGCCTTTTCCCAGAGAGACATTGCATCATCGATGCTGGCGTCCAGGTCGGGGATGACAGCTTTGACGGCCGGTATGCTGACATCCACGTCATGCATTTCTTCCACGCCCAGCTCACCTAGGAGCTCCCCCGGGTACCAGACGTTGACCAGGGTTGCGTGGTCCTTGCTAATGCCTCGCCAAACCTTTGCTGCGGAGACTTCAGTGTTTGCGGTCGTGATATGTTCAGTAGTGCCTGCTCGAGTCTCTGCAATCTCGGTATTGGCTGTGTAGTCGCAAGCATCACAGGTGATAACAGTGTCCTCGCCAACGGGGGTTGGCAGATGGTATTCATGACTGATATCTCCTCCCATGTCGCCAGAACTAGCCTTCGCCACTATCACTGGCAGCTTAAGAGCATTGAACACACCCTTGTAGGCTGCCTGGACTTGGTTGTAGGTCTCCAAAGCCGCCTCTGGCGAGACGTCGAACGTGTATAAGTCCTTCATTGTGAATTCGCGTGACCTCAAAAGCCCATGACGAGGTCGTAACTCATCACGAAATTTGCGTGCTGGTGTCGCTACGTTAACCTTGAAACCTAAATGATGACGACCGGCGTTGAGAGCTTACTGATTTGATATAGCCGAAGTGGTAATTCCTTGTAGGATTTGACTGTCTTAGCCACCAGAGACGTGATTTCTTCCTCATGTGTGGGCGACAGCAAGTACTGGGCTCCCTTGCGATCCTCAAAGCCGAAAAGCTACAAAGGTTAGTTGCGGCTTCATCTGGCGTGACCGAAAACACAAACTTCCGATCCAAGCTGCGAATAACGACCGCTTCTCTCCCACAGCTCCTGCGACGTTATTGTCGAAAGTGCAACTCTTGAGGCCCCTAGATGATACATGTCAACCAGAAGCCTGATCGCCCAGCTTGGGGACTTCTCACCTAGCTCTTCCATGTAATGGTCAATGACACGTTCTAGCTTATGCTGGACACGTCGGCCAAGCGGGAGGAGATGAAAAATGCCCGGGTGAGACTGGACAGCTGCTGAGTACGGCGGCGCAGATATCTCGGCGATTCTTGATGGCATTGACGTACCTGCCTCAGAAATCCTGCACGAATGAGCTTGTTGTGGGCACCTGTAGTTGCCCAAGTCAGCCTATCATGGATGCCATATGCCGATACTGGAATTACCCTCGTCTTGGCCCGCGGTGATACCTCCGGTGGGAACCCACACCGCGGATAATCGACTCCTCGCTGGTCCAGGATGGTAGCAGCGGACGGATATCTGCAGCGCGTCAGCCAAAATCCTAAATGTCAGCACATGAAAGGCCTTGAACTCATTCACCTGAAAGTGGTTGAAAGGCAGCATGCGACGACGACTTGTGCTCAGAACAGCAGCCCGCGGCAAAGCTGCCATCCGTAATAGCTGCGAAGGCATACTCTCAACGAGGAAACGAGACAACTTAGGTCCGGAGGGAAAGATTAGCCAGGACTGCTTGATTTCTGCTGATACCGTAGTATTCTCGTGGCTTGATTCGGTGGCCCCTATAAAGGAGTACAATCGCCAAAGTTAAAGTGATCTCACCCGAGAGCTGTCGGTCAGTACTGTTGTCGAGTTGGAGCCGCATAGAGACTGACAAGGAGGAAGAAGAGTAGCCTGTAATAGCTCGATCGTAGTGGTTGGACGCAAGTTAATGACGGGATTATGTGGGTGCAGTTGTCCAAGTCTTGTCGTGTGAGATTGGAAAGCCGAAAAACGATCTAATCATAAGAACCGAGCTGCTTGGTTGGCAGTGTGCACTTGCACAAACACCTGATCAACCTTTTCGCGTTCTTCGCGAGGGTTGAAACAGTGTGAGGTAGTTAGTTGGTCGACTTGCCGCGGAGCAGCAAACTGCCATTTCCAGTGATAATTTGGTAGACTGGGAACTCGTAGCTGTAGCTTCATCCAATTGTCTTCCCAGGAATCGCGCGAAGCGGATCCCGTCGCGAGTCGCATGGATTCAGCGCTGGTTTTCATGTAGGGATCGAGGACAAGCCTTTCCCCGTTAGGCCTTAGCGTCACCAATGTGGGGGATTTGAAGTGTCCCACCTTGTACCTGATTCTTTTTTCCCATTTTTTTTTTATCAATTTCCCGTCCGCGATTTTGCGCCTGGCTTAGCCATCCAACCCGTCGCGCCTTCCTCGCCCTACAGAGTTTTCGAGAAGTCGAAACCGGTCGGAGGACTTCCTCATCGCAGTCTTGACAGCCATCTATTGCAACCTCATTTATCACCAATTCCCTGCACCTATCGATAGCAGGAACCACAGCCTCATGATGGCGAAGGACAAGCGACAATCAGCTGGCGGCAACGGTCCTCGACAAGCCCAATTGAACGAGCAGTCGCTCACTGCGCTGACGGCCAAGATCGACAAGAACCTGGGAAGGAACACCAAAGAAGATAACTCAAACAAAAACAAGAAGCGAAAGCACATCTCAGAAGGTCCCTCCGCGAGTCCACGCCAGCGAAAGAAGCAGGCACAAGGACGAGAGGACTCCAGCAAAGACGTAGGGGAAGCACCATCCAAGACGAAGGGAGTGAAGGGCGGTCCCCTATCTCGTGACGCCTTACTGGAGGAAATACGTGCCTTGGGGGGCGATGAGGAGGACCTGGATCTCATTGGAGACATTGATTCGGACCAGGACGATGCAACCGAAGAGAAAGACACAGGTGCCGTCGACAAGAAACTCCAGGGCGAGCTCGCAGCTTTTGCTGCTCAGCTAGGACTGCAGCAGTATCACGAGCAAGTGACTGCCGACGAAGATGATCAGATTGACGAGGACAACGAGGACGACGAAGCTGACGGGAACGACTCCGATGCCAACGAGGTCTTCACCAAGGAAGATACTCCCGTCGAGGAGCCAGCGCGTAAAGAAACGAAAGATGCATCCAAAAAGCAGTTCGTGAGTATGACCCTCTTTCCCACGGTAACCTTACAGTCACCGTACTAACCACCGCCGTTCACAGAAGTTTGAACCTCGTGCGGATTGGCATGGTGCTCCATTAAGCAAGCTCCCAGAGCCTGTCTCGATTGAGCTGGACGGCTACCTCAGCGCTATACATTCTCTTAAGAGCCATGCCCTGAGTCTTCTGGAAGCCGATGCGTCAGCATACAGCAAAAGTGTTTTGGCCTCATCCTCCCGCAAGTTCCTTTCTACGATTATGTCCTCGGGTACCTTGTCTGACAAGGTGTCGGCGCTCACTTTGGCGATTCAAGAGTCTCCTCTCCACAACATCAAGGCTTTCGAGTCACTCCTGGGTCTTGCGTCCAAGAGAAGCCGTGCTCAGGCAATTGGAGCGCTGGGAGCGTTGGTCGATCTGCTGGGTCCCGGTTTGATTCTCCCGCCGGACAGAAGACTGCGGACGTTCCAGTCGCAGCCCGGGCTACTTGGAGCACTTCAAAAATCTTCCATCAAGACTTGGTCTTCTGGACAATCCCTACCCAGCCGGTTGACTGAGGCTCATCTCATACAATTTGCATATGAAGACTGGCTCAAGGCTTCCTACTTCAGAGTCATCCAACTTTTGGAGGTGTGGTGCAATGATGAGATCGAATACTCCAGAACTCGGTCTCTCGATTTCGTCTTCGGACTGCTCAAGGACAAACCGGAGCAAGAGACTAACCTATTGAGACTCTTGGTCAACAAGCTTGGCGACAAGGACCGAAAGATTGCGTCGAGGGTGTCGTATCTCCTGCTTCAGCTCCAGAACACCCATCCCGGAATGAGGCAAATCATCATCAAAGCCGTCGAGCAAGAGGTACTGCTTCGACCTGGTCAGAACTTCAGGGCCAGGTATCACGCTGTAAATACTCTCAACCAAACAATCCTGAGCAGTCGCGAAGTTGGCACGGCCGAAACACTCCTTGGCATCTATTTCGAAATTTTTGTCACTCTGCTGAACAGCTCTGTGCTCGGCAGAGCACTTGGCGACGACCAGGAAGATCAGCCAAAGGCAACTGTGAAGGATGCAGCCGCAGCCGCAGAGCGTCAGACAGCCGACAAGTTGGTCACCGCCGTCCTGACTGGTATCAACAGAGCAGTCCCTTTTGTGTCGGCCCAGAACCCTATGTAAGTGTTGATGGCGACCTCTCTCCATCTAAGACGCTGTAAACTGATATTGTAATGCAGTCTTGAGTCTCAATTGGATACTCTTTTCCGCATCGCCCATTCAACGAATTTCAACACAAGTATCCAGGCCCTCATCCTCATTCAGCAAGTGTCAGTGTCCCGGCATATGGCGTCCGACAGGTTTTACAGGACTCTATACGAATCCTTACTGGACCCTCGCCTCGCCACGTCCTCGAAGCAGGCCCTTTACCTGAACCTCCTGCTGAGGTCACTGAAGGCTGATGTGGATACGCGTCGGATCAAAGCATTTGCAAAGAGAATGTTGCAGGTCCTCAACTTGCACCAGCCTGCCTTCGCGTGTGGCTTGTTGTATGTTGTATTTCAGTTGCGGGTCCAGTTTCCCGAGCTGAGGGCGCTTCTTGAGGAGCCCGAAGACAACGATGAAGAAGAAGCAAGCAAGACATCTATTGAACACAAGAATAGCGAGTCTGCCACAAGAGGAATCGCATATGATGGCCGGAAGAGGAATCCCGAGCACAGCAATGCACAGAACAGCTGTCTTTGGGAGATTATTCCTCCCCTCACGCACTTCCACCCGTCCGTGTCGATGCTTGCAGCCAGCATTTTCTCCGATGAGAAGCAGTTGGCTAAGCCAGACTTGGAGAGTCACAGTTTGATTAGGTTCCTCGACAAGTTTGTCTACCGCAGCCCCAAAGTGGCCGAGACCAGTCGCGGAGCGTCTATCATGCAACCGGTTCGGAACCCGGACTCTGGCAGCATCTGGCTCGCCAAAAAGACAGGCACAGCTCCTGCTACGTCCGTCAACACGCCGAACTTCTGGAACAAGAAGGTCGAGCACGTTGCAGCGGAGGACATCTTCTTCCACGAGTACTTCAAGCAGGCTGGTAGGCAGAATGAGACGGGCAAGAAGGGGGCCACAGCCGCAGCAGCCATTTCTGACGGACAAGATGATGATGCCGAGCAAGAGGATGAGATCTGGAAGGCACTCACAGCCACGCATCCTGATGGCCCGATTGATAGTGAGGACGAGGACCTCGACATGGACGGTTTCGATGATAGCGAGGACGAATCCGACGGCGGGGTCATATTCTCCGACGGATATGATATCAACGACTCTGACGAGGAGATGGATGGTGGAGCTGGCGAGTTCGAGGACGAAGACGACGAGGATGCGAGCGAGGACGAGGATAATGTCGAGCTGTCCGCGCCTCCCATCGAGGAGGACGACGAGGAGGAGGACAAGAAGTCTAAGAAGGGAGGTCGATCATCGAGAAGGAAACTGAAGGATCTGCCAATGTTTGCCTCGGCAGAAGACTACGCTGAGCTTCTCGCGCAGGACGAGGATTGAAAGGGATTCTCGGGGGTCCGAAACTCATTTCAGGTCGGAAAAGTAAAGTCAATTCAATTTCGGTATATCAGAAAACTCAATCACGCTCGCTGCTAGCCGACGACTTTGTTTTACCACGTCTTGCCGATCATGTGTCGAACCACTCCAGCTCGTCGCTGTCGGTGAAAATGGCACGGTATGTCTTATCGCCATCTGGATGCTCTGTCTCCTCAGTGTGGATGCTGTGCAGCTTGGCCGGCTCGTCTCCGGGGACATCGAAAACTCTAATGTGGATGTAGGCAGGCCCAGATTCAGGCAAAGCCGGAATGCGAACCTTGCCAAAGAGATGAACTCCGTAGGCCGAGACGGCAACTCGAACAGCGACGAGGTTTTCAGCGCTGAATCCAGCCAGCTCTTCGTCACTAAGATGCTCCTGTGGTTTTGGTTAGCCCAAAATGCATTGGTTGGGCTAGGTAGGTGGCTCCGGAGCACTCACAACAGCCTGGAAGTACTCGCGCTCGTGCTCTGATGCGGGGTTATATGTCAGTTCCGGGCGTTCTTCTCACCAACCACGCTACCAGATAGTGGGACGGGTTGCGGGTGTTTACTTTGATATTCACGACGTGTAGTCAAAAGCCTTTCCTTGAGCTCGTGCTCGATATCCCTGAAGGCGTTGATGGACTCGGCCTTTGGCTCATGAAGGGGTCCGAGGTCAACTGTTTCCGCGGTGGCCTCGAAGCACGTTAGACAGGGTACCTAGAGCAGGGGGCCACTCATGACGGGAGCACATACCATCGTGTCGGGTCGATTCGGTGTCGATAAAGAATTGCTGTTGTGTATTCTGATGGGTAAGATGTTCGTTTCATTGTTGAACAGATGGCAGCTAGCTGCACATTATATATCACGATCCCATCTTCAGGGGGGGGGGGGCTGAAGCTGAGGGGTTCAAGGCGTAATATTGGCGTACACAACCTGGTAGCCTGACAGAACGACCCCTGAAACGAGACCGGATGGATGCATGAAGATCTCTTCTGCTGTTCGTCTGGCAGTTTCAAGCATGGTGGACAATGAGGGGGTGATGTCATACGACATGGATCTCTACTTGCTGGTGTTCTCTACTCCAAGGCGGGATTGCGTAAGAGGAGGATGGACACGATTATCTACAACCAGAGACAAACTGCGATGGCACGTTGACAGTCTTGCACGACCAAGTTGACGTACGTTGGTCGCTAGATTCGCTACGCATGGTATTCAGTACAGCCCAGTATTGTGGCACCCATAATGAAGAATCAGGTGCTATTTATTCAATTATCAAAGCACAGAATTCAGGTACTTACCTCCATAACTTAGGTGGGTAGGTACCTACCTAAGCAGGCACATTACCTTCCATATCTTATCCATCACTCACCAATGCCTACCTTACCTGCACTGGCCCCCCCTTTCGTCCTGAGGTACCTACTTCAACTCTAAGTCCCGTCGCCAATTGCCTCCGCACACGATACTTTCCGCACCTGGCCTCCTCCCTTTCCGCGAACACACGCCTCAGCCTTGTGTGGTGACGAACGAAAAAACAAATGACGAGAAATTCGTTCGTTCCACTGAGGCGGGCGCTTGCGCACCCTGCAAGACAAAGTATCTCCAACGCACTCGTCTCGCGAGCGTCGCCTCCCGCTTGCCAACAAGGTTTCCGACGCTACCATCCAGGCGTAGGTGCTGGTGAGCTTTTTGCAGCCTTTCATGGTTATGACGAGTGAAGCTCACGTCCCATCCGCAGCTTCCGTCTTACCGCCGACACCACCTCCTTCTCGCCTTCGTAGGGCCTTCGCGTTTGGCGCATACGGACTACTCTTCGCGACCCTCGGGTTTTTGACCGCCGCAAGCCCCCTTGTGCCCGGTGTTTGGGATGCCACACGGAAGCGTTCTGACGAGGAATCATTGCGCTCATACGTCCCCGAGGATGCCGAGGCGAAAGTCATCGACGACTTCATCAACAAGCACCCTCTGGCCGCTGAGATGAGGAAGAACCCAAACATGGCTGAATCCCGACCCCATATGAAATTGCCCGATGCCTTGCGACGTCACAATCTTACAGGTGGCACCCTCTTGGGGCCGGGGCGCATCACAGTCCCTCCAGTCTGCTGGACTGAGAACGGAGGCAAGTCTCTCGTGTCCATATCTCACCTCGGTACGGACGTGTGCGGACATCCTGGCATCGTACATGGCGGACTTCTCGCGACTATGCTTGACGAGGGGCTGGCGCGCTGCTGCTTTGGGGCGCTTCCGCACAATGTTGGTGTCACTGCACAGCTCGAGATAAATTACAGGAAACCAGTTCATGCTGGAACCTACGTGGTGCTGCGAGCGAAGACACTCAAGGTTGAAGGACGCAAGGCTTGGGTCGAAGGCCAGCTTGAGACGCTGCCGGCTGAAGGGGAGGAACCTGTCATTCTGGCTCAGGCCGGAGCGCTGTTTGTCACGCCAAGATTCGCCTCAGTAAGTTCTTGTTATTCTCCAAACATGATATGTTTCTCTTCGCTGACATGATTCCCAGGTTATGGCCAAACTAAACGCAACGTAACCCGCATAGAAATGGTGATGTTCGCTGCATTAAGGTGCGGTTAGAGCAAGCGACGGACGGAGTATTCTAAAGACCAGCACTGTCACGAATCGAATAGAAGAAAGACCTTCAATCGATGAATGCCCATTTTTAGTACCTTAAGAGACAGGTAGCCTTCGGCGCCGAAGGAAAGGTCGGGGTCGGCATGGAGGGCGGGACGGAACGGAAGTCGGTGTTGGCCGGGAAAGGCTACCGGTCGGGACCTGTGACGTGTATTGCCCGCCAAGAATTGGTCCACCTTTAGCCGATCTGACGCCATCGCTCTGCAACGCTTCTTGTGCGCCCCCCCTTTCCACTTCACTTCTCTTTGGTTTTGAGGGACTGACTTGTGCTTCTCCCACCAAGGTACCTTCGAATACTGTGCTACCTTAGTGCCCCTCCACCCCTCACAGCATTAGACGCACAATTACTCCAGCGCACTTCCCACAGCAACCCGCTCGCTGCCTTGAAAACCAACTGAGTCGGTGCCAGCGCGCTCCACGTCGAATGGGCCGCGTCTTGCTTCATGAGCGGGAAGGGCCTGATGGAAGAGGAGAGTAGTGGAGGCGTACATCGTCTTGCCGTAGATAATGTACATTATTGTACATGCGTAATTTACTTGCATTACCTCACGTTACTGAGCTGTCCTGTTGACTTGCGCATATAAATATAAATCTTACTCGCTGTTCTATGTTCGCGCAGCCACAATACCCAGCTCTTGTGTCATCCTGCACCTTGTCCTGCAATCTTTGTCCTTCTCCTACATCTTAAACCTCACCTGAGCAGGCGCATAGTCCAATCGAGGCCCCAAATTTTCGCACAAGATCATTCACAATGGCTACGTGAGTGTCACACCCCGCAGTTCTCGATTTGCTATGTTACCCCGCCATCGCCAGCAACGAAAACTTGCATCCTGCCTTGCATGGCCCATTGACTAACCAAACCTGCTGGCTTCCAACAGCAACATCACATGGCATCCGTCTCTTTCCCGCTCTGAGCGCAACCAGCTGCGAAAGCAGCGCGGTTTCACAATTTGGCTTACCGGCCTCTCCGCCTCCGGCAAGTCGACTGTAGCTACGGCTCTGGAGCAACATCTTCTGCACTTGGGCGTTGCGGCGTACCGCCTGGACGGTGACAACGTTCGCTTCGGTCTCAACAAAGACCTGGGTTTCTCCGAGAAGGACCGCAACGAAAACATTCGTCGTATCGCAGAGGTAAGACGTGCTTCTCTCAGATTCTGAGCCATCATCGTCTGCTTGCTCTAAACTGAAACCCGGTCACTCAATAGGTTGCCAAGCTCTTCGCCGATTCCTCAACCGTCGCTATTACCTCTTTCATTTCTCCCTACCGAGCGGACCGCCAGGTCGCCCGCGAGCTGCACACCCAAGCGAGCCAGGGCAATGACGATGCCATTCCTTTCATTGAAATCTTCGTCGATGTCCCCATTGAGGTTGCAGAGCAGCGTGACCCAAAGGGTCTCTACAAGAAGGCCAGAGCCGGTGAGATCAAGGACTTCACTGGCATCTCCGCCCCTTACGAAGAGCCTGAAAACCCGGAAATTCGCATCAGGACCGACAAGTCTAGCGTGGAGGAGTGCGTGGCCCAGATTGCCGAGTGGCTGGTCAAGGAGGGTCTCATTTCAACCACCAAGACTGCCTAAGCCCTACTGATACACCGGAGGCCGGTGCTGTTTCTACATCTAGCTTCATGACTTTAGGAACTGTCAACTACTCGTAACCATAGCTCTTTCCGTGATTCGATATTGCCCGTTGCCCCCTCTTGGGTGTTTTGGTGCATACATACAAGTTCGAGAGGGCGAAGGGCCCTACGACATCTATTTCCTTCTGCTGCGCTCATGGAAAGTCGAATTCGTAATACACATATGCCGTGTATTCGTGGCCTTCACCTCCACCCAACCCGGCTGCCGCCATCTCGGACGACAACGTTGCGTCATCTTTAGTGATCTTCCCGCGCTTGTCCCTTCCGAAAGCATTGCCTCCCAGGTATGAGTAGTTGGAGTCGAGGGCCGTCTTGACTTTCTTGCACAGCTTCGAGTTCGTCTGAAACGTGTTAGCAATGTAGACTTGCTGGGTTCTTCGGCTCGTCACTAACCTTGACAAGGACGCTGACATAGTCGAGGGGCAGTCCGTAGCGAAGGACAGCTTCGACGAAGACGCGGAGAGCAAGGACATGGAGCCAAATCATGACACTCTCACTCCAACCAGTACGCCCAATTCTTAGAGCTTCTCCCCAAGTTTTCTTCTCTTCGCGAGCTACCCGATCGAGCTCGCGCTTCTCCTCTTCTTTGCCGCCTTCGACATACTTGTACTGGCGAGGAGTCCATTTCTGCTCGCGGCATTTCTGCAGGAACTCGGCACTGTGTTTCTTGAACGACGTGGCGGCATACAAAGTGAACTCTTCGTCCTGGGCAACTTGTACAGCGGATCGCGGGACAACCATTGGCGCCAGTGTTTCGTAACTTCTCAGGAAGTCCTTCTTGGCGTTGTTAGGGACGACAATCAAGTGTGTCTCGAGGTATTCGGAATCTTGGATAAGGAGGGCGGGGTCGACGATCGGAGTGAGAGACTTTGTAGCGAGGTTGCCCCTAAGCAAGTCATCAGCAAATGAAACCCGTCATACGATACCATGTACTCTGACGTACGTCTGCTTGCGCTGCAGGGTGGTGAAGTTCGTCTTGACTGAATTATACTGATTAAATTTGCTCTTGACATCATTGTCGGTGGTCATGAGTTCCTGGGGCACGCGATTAGCCTGGCATTGGCCATTATCTCGCGCATTGCAGAAGACAGATCCCTGAGACCCGTTCATCAATATCGTACCTTCTGCAACGTATCGACAAGCTCGCTCAGGCTCTTGTCGGCGCGGTACCTGACCTTGTTCCACGCAAACGAGCTGACGTACTGGTCGGTCGGCTCTAAAGAAACAGCGCAGTCAGTAACATCTTTTCCTGGGGAGAGTAAAAGAGCAGGGCGGGTCGTGTCTCACTGTCGTTGACCATCTTCTGCTGGGCGATCTTCTCTTCGTCATTGTCGAGAATTGACTTCAGAGAATCGGCAACCTTGGCAACGACAGCTTCGCAAGTAGATTCGAGCTTGGCCAAATCGTCGGCTTGCTGAACCAAAGCATCCAGTGTACCAATCTTGAAGTCGGGAATATTGAAAGGTCGCACGTTGCCGTTCTCGGGCGAAATGGTAGCGCTTAGCGAGGAAATAGCATCTTCTTTGTCGCTCGAGTCGAAGATACCGAGGGGGAGGGAGACAAGGGCGTATTTCGTGGACATCTTGACAACTTCGGCTAACTTTCCATGCGTATGATCAACGAGTCAACGCGTTGGGATGTCGGGATGGCAAGGTGCTGGTGCGATGACGATGACGGCAGCGACAGAGGGAGAGCGAGCGTGAGAGAGGTAGCTTGAGGTCCGGAGAGGTCAGACAAGGAAGCAAGGCTTAGGTAAGGAGGCGGCGCGTTCTCTGTGTACCTAGGTAGTGAGGTACCTCGCTCGATACGACGTCAGAGAGCGTGCAGGTGGATGAGGTAGTCTAGGAATGACAGCGGTAATGGCGACGACGATCTGCAACGTTGAGAAGTGATTTCGCAGCGAAGGTGAGGGTGCGCGAGCAAGTCACCAGCGATGTTAATAATGCCGGAGCCGGTTGTTGGGTAGAGATGCAGCTACCTGTATCCGTACACGGACGCCTCCCAAAAGTACACCACGGCACCTGGTAGGAAGGTGGAAGTACCGCATATACCTTACCTAGACCTTGAGTACTAAAAACCTTTAAGGTAGGTAAGCTAAGCCAACCTAGCCACCTTTCTTTCGAGGCGGGTAGCCATCAGCAATGTGAACAGTCAACCTGGAAGGCATCAACTGCTCTACGTACCTACTCCAGCTTCGTATCGACCGCCGCCCTCTCCTCCTTATCCACAGCGGCTCATCTTCTCGATCCTACACCCGACCAACACTTTGGCGTCGGGTCTCTTCGCCCTTGCAAGCCCAAATAGACACTGCAGTCCACGTCTTCCACCGCGCCATCGATCGCTGTAGGCTGTAACGTGTTGAGCCGCCTCTAATCCACGTCTCGTCGACAACAACCCGAACCTACAACAATAGCAAGACGACTCCCTGTCTATCCAGTCAGGCGACTGACGATGAGGATGCGCACCTTCTTCTCAGAGACTTCCCAGACAAGTTGACCTGACAAAATCTCGAGGTTTTGAGGCTCCTCGTCAATACCGGCCGGGCTGTGTGATGCTCTTTCGTTTCATCAGTAGCACGACCGCACACTCTACCGAAGCGAACGACGCGACCTCCTTTCGTACATCTCTGCTAGGCCAACTAGATCGGCCACTATTGCGACCTTCTCTACATATACGGTCGCGGCCTTGCCACGGCCGCGGCCGCCTTTACGCCTAGGAATGAGGCCCTGTTTAAACCGCAGCATCTGCTCATCGCAATGGCTACAATTGGAGGTTCGAGACCCCGGCTTTCTCAGCAAATCTCCCCGCGCCTCGACTGACCACGTCTTCAAAAGCATCGCTTCAGCCCTTGAAACCGGCAGCAACCACCTGTGATCGCACAATTGCCACAGATGGCTTATCACCGCAAAATCCCGTGTCGGCTTCCGCGGGCCAAGGAGGTCTGTCGGCCAATTCTTACCCAACCGAACTCATATCTCTGCAAGTCAAGGCTGCAAAGCGCAGACAGAAGCGAGGATCATCGCTAACCACGACGTCGCAGGCGAATTTCGGGGCTTCGGAATATTGCAACCCACCGGCCCTCCCGTACAGGATGATATTCCCGGACTCTATAGGGACGGACGCGTTCGAAATCCGGTCCCGAGCAAGCTAAAGGGCAAAACGGATGTTAGGAACGGAAACTTCGGTGTCATGCATATTGATCTTACTACGACGAATGAGACACAGGAACGAGATGCCGCAGCTAAAAGGACTAGCGAAGGCACACAACTCGCTGCAAAGCTGGCCCAGACAGATCGCTACGTTCCGATCAAACGAAGCAAATTCATTCATCGAACCGACAACCACCCGGTCCCTAGTTCACCACAAGCTCCACCGCCTCGCCATCGGGCTTCGCCCCTCACCGCGGTCGAGACCAAGACCGAACAGGCTCGCTTACTGACGCTTCTACGAAGTCTGCACCCCGTCCTCGTAGTCGACCAACTGTGCAAAGCCTTGGCTTTCTTCGGAGGTATCCCCGGCGCTGAACCATCGACTGAAGGGTCTTTTCCGGAAAGCGCTGAGTTCAACGGTTCAGGGTCACTCTTTGTGGGGTGGCTAGGTGAAATTTTCCCAGCCCTCGGCCAAGGATCAGGGTCGAGGGTACAACCAGCGGCTGTGAAACGCCCTCGAGGCCGTCCGAGAGGAAGTAAGAACACCAAAGGGAGGAAGGACAAGTCTCTCAGAAAGCGTTTGGCCATTGCTGGCCGTTCAGCACAAGCGTCTGGAAATCGTCGTTTGGCCGATGGGCTAGTTGACGAAGGCCATATCGACGACAGCTGGGTGGATGTTGACGAAAACAGTGGTACTCATGACGAGGAGGACACACTGGATGTCAGTCAGAACGCGACCGTTCTGGATACCGCCATCCCATCCGACAATGGTCATTCCATAGCTGGTTCGACTGCGCCGATGAGGGAGGCGAGAAGCAGTGCCCCTGACACTTCTTCTCTCGTAATCCCGACTCCGAAGCGGCGGGGGAGACCAAAGGGGTCCAAGAACCGGCCCAAGGACGGCGCGAGTACAAGTACAGCGACAGGAGCTGCGGAGGCAATGCCGGCCACGAAGAAGCGGAAGCCAGGTCCTGGCCGTCCAAAGGGGTCGAAAAACCGCCCCAAAGAGCCGCAACCTACTGCGCTGGTGACCGAAGTCGAGTTACAGCCAGTATCAACTGCTCTGCAGACCGAGCACGAAAAAAGTGGGACTTCCAGACCCCCCGAATCAACTCGTCCATCGTACTTGACTTTGGACGCTACACCAGGCAGACCAGCCGAGATTCAGCCAAGTCTGCCTCAAAACTCAACGCCGGCCACGCCTGCTCAAGCCCCCCACCGAGTCAATTCTACTACGGCTAAGTCTAATGTTAGGGGAGGCTCGAGGGAAACAAAGCGGAAACGAAAGGCTCCTGCCGCAGAAACGACGGCCGTAAGGAACGCACAAGTACTTACAACAACCGAGCGAGGTACTGCCCCGGGTGCAGACGATGTCGTAGCTGTGTTGAGTTCTGGGAGCCACTCTCTCAACCAAGCGAGTGCTGAGGCCGTTTCTTCAATGAGCGGCGATGGTACAGCGAAACAGCAAGCAAAGAGACGCAAAGTCGTAAAAAGATCACCAAAACAACCCGCGGTGGACGTTCGGGTCGATCAATCCACCGACGAAAATCAAGCCTTTCCAGGTGCAGCAGTCTCTCAGCCGCCAAGGCAACGACCAATGGAGGGTAGCGCAATTATTGTGAATGCCGACAAGAATGATGGTGTACCGAGGGCGAGGAATCAAACGGTGGAGTCTATCAGCGAGTCTCCGCAACAACACAACGTCAACTTACAACACGCTGTATTTGAACCACAGCCTGACTTCGGTCAAGATCGTGGCGTCTCTGGCGGTAATATTGATCAGCTTCAGGCCAGCAAGCCGGTGACAGCTCCCTCATACCCAATTGGCTTCTCTAGCAGATCATCGCACGGCATGTACAACCAGGCTCGCTCTGTTCAAGGCCTTCTTGGACAGCAAACACAGCGCCAGCATCAAAACAAGCAGCAGCCGCCGCCACCGCCACGACAGAATCACCACCCCCAACAGACACAAGCTCAACAACTACAGCAGCGGCAGCGGCAGCAGCAGCAACGACAGCAACGACAGCAACCTGAGTCTAGACAACAAGCCCACCCCGAAAATCATGTCCATGCTAATCAACATCACATCATGAACTCGGGGAGTGTATCAGTGTCCTCGACTGCTGGACACAATGCGAATTCTTTTGATGGACCTGCTGGCGATAGAGGATATCGTGGGCTCATGCCTCAGCCGCCGTCATTCGGCGCGCAAGTGCCTTTGTCGGTGTCTCCCGACAGCAACTACCGAAATTCCGCATCGCGCTCGGTACAAAATCAGTCACCGGCTTTTCAGCGCCCGGGACATCCGACGTCATCGTCGGGCATGCCGTACCAAGATTATTCGGACCCGGCGTTTCTAGAAATGACGGGACTTGACTCTACAAACCATGCCAGCCTCGCCATGAGCCAGGCGTCATACGGCATACCGGGTGATGCTATGCAGCGACCACCTTCGGCTATGAATCCCTCATACACCACGACCTCGAGCCTGGGGCCTTCATTCAACGGCTCCATGACAGACCGCATCTACCATGGCTTAAGGCGGCAGTAAAGGCATCAAGGGCCTTTGGATGGCTTTGAGCTACAATGTTTCTATGCTTTTCCACCCACAAGAAACCCACGTATCATGATGAGTCCAGGTGAAAGACCTGTGCTATGTAATGTAATGTTGTTACGATGCTGATGATTAATTCGTCTCATTTCTTATGGTCAGCCATCTTTGGAGGGTAGCGCGAGCGGCTCGGGGCATCCAGGCGCGGTCTTGCGGGTTTCAATGCTTCGTCTTTATGATTTCATGGTAAACAAATACCAGGATTGTTGGGATTGAAATACAACTAGGGGAATATCGAGACAGTACGATGCCTGACTGTATCTCTATCCAAATGGTTACACCCCTCTCCATGCTGGGCCCTGACAAAGAAAATGCAGTAGAAAAAAGCTAAAATGGCGAGGGAGCTTTTTGTTTGCTCGTTCCCGATGGTCGTTCTCCCTGACCAGCCTAAACGCCAGTAAATGCTTGATATTTCGTCGTTCTCTCAAACGCCCTCAATGGGATCCTCCTCTATAGCCTCAAGTGGCGGGCGTACCGATTCGGGCGTGCTCCGCCCATACCACCACTCGTCCTCCTCTTCCATGCCATCATCGCGAATCAGCTCCAACATGACCTGAGCGTTGCGTTTGATGTCTTGCGTGCGCTCCACAATACCCCTTTCCATAATTAGAGCCTCGGCCGTTGTCAGCCAAATTTGTTGCAAACTGGGTAAATCGCTCAGGATGCGGCGAGCGTCGTCTCGCCCAAGGGATCCCATCGGCATACCTGCCGCGAGGCTAGTATTGAAGACCAAGTTGTCGGAATGATCGGCGGTGTCGTCGAGAGATGCCCGCGGCGTGTGTCGTGTTGGAAATCCTCCTTGAGGTGTGGATTTGGCGGAATCCTTAACCGATAAGAATGACTTCTTCCGGCCCAACCCCATGAGACCTCGTCGCTGTTTTTGAGCGGGTTGTTCCACCGGGTCCTTGGCGACCTCGTTATACCAATCATCGACTGCTCCACGCCTGCTGCTATACCCCTTGATCTCCCATAATCTTTCAACCTGACGCAAGCCGCCGACGCACAGAATAGCAACGTGCACCTCGTCTGGGGGCTTCTCCTTGAGATAACCCCTTAATGATCGTTCGACTCGTCCAGCGTATGATGGCGGACGTAATCGTCTGCAGAAAGAGGAGATGATGAGAGGAAAGACCTGGTGAACACGCAGCAATGTCTGGTCGTCGTACATGTTCATGATTTCGACTTCGATCGGGTTTAGGGTATACGGCTCGTGTAGCAAGCCATGTCCGTTGTTGTCGAGAATGTGTTGCAAATGTAATTTCCTGTACGTCTCGAAGAAGTGGAAGACTGTAAAAAGAAGTGGGATGAGGCGTCGACGCATCCGCTCGCGTTGGGGCGCGAACTCTTGACGTTGAGCCTCGGTAGTTCGTAGAAATATTTCCTTCGTGATCCATTCGCACATGAGGAACGACAGCTTCGCTGCGACGTGTAGGCGATGCCACAGGCCGCAGAGATGGTGAAAATTTGCTGTGGTGGGATCCCTGGATGGATAGAGTCGCAGCGCGTACACTGGAATATGATGATCGAGATGATATCGAACGATAGGCGCCTCGTTCAGAGTGACGAGGGTATGCCATGCTTTCGAGACTCGGCGCAGATTCAAGACGTCAGTGAGCGGTAAAGATGAGATGATTTGAATCTGAAGCTCGGTCGGTAAAGCGAGAAATAATTGATCGAAGGAAAGGCTGAGGTCATGTCAGCATTGCTGGTCAAGTGTAATGGGCTACGTTAGCAACTGATAGGATATGACGAACGCTTTTGATTTCGAGGACCCCACGAGCTGCTCCGCGAGTTCGCTGTGCAACGTCGAGGATTTTGAGTGAAACAAAGAACTTTTGGATCTCAGACCGAAAAGTCGACTCTTCTCTTGGCGCTTGTAGTCAGATGGTCGGAAGGCATCGGCGTCGGTCTCGTTTGCTTTCGAGGCACGGAGCGGGAGGATGAAAGTGGATGAGGACTGAGAGGGTATCGACTGCGGAGAATGCGGATGGGGCGCAGGTAGCTGAGGATCGCGAGATTGATTTAGTTGATCGAGCTTGTTGAAGTAGCGCTCGGAGGCGAACTCGGTTAGATGAGGCGGATCCATCTTCCTGCTATCGCGCTGAGCAATGGCACAGCCAAAGAGAGGAGGGGGTGAGGCCTAGAAAGCCCAGCATAAGGTCCCCCAATGGATCGTGTCTATTCGGTATGATGATAGCCAGGCGAGGAAGCGTAGTTGTCGATGGTGCCGGACGTTCGCGGCTTAAACATGGCTGGACATAGGGAATCGGTCGAGCAGGTCGACAAGGGGATTGGTGTGGAGAGATGAGGGATAGGATGCAATTGCCGCAGAACCGAGTGGTTAGGACGTCGTGTAGCAGAGAAACGGGTGACGAGGTTGGCGAAGACGGAACTGAGGCTGTCGGGGTCTCGGGCGGGTGAATAGTCGACAAGACGGCTCGGACGTAGGGAGACAGAGGACGCAAAAGGTCGATTAAAGAATGTAAGCGATGAACGCGAGTTGGATTCCAGAGCAGAGGCGTGGCGGGAGATGGTGTTGGACGGAGATCCGGGTAACGTTTGGCCGCGATGTTTGAAGTTGGTTGGGGTTAGGATTGGGATAGGGATTGGGGAGAGAAAGAAGAGGGAATGAGTAGGTAAGTGGGCGGGCAGTGAGAAAGGGAGATCGGTCGGTTCCTCTACCTTAGGTACATACCTAGGTAGCCAGTGGAAGGTAAGGTAGGTAGGTAGCTAACCCAACCTGAAGGTGGTGGCAAGAGTGGAGGGTGAGCCTGCCCGCCTATCTCCCTTCGCTACCTAGGTAATTGTGCCTTCCATAGGCTCCTACCCGGTAGAAAGTGATCATTAGGTGAGGTGGTAGTAAGACGATGGAGGTAGGTAGGTCAGGTTAGCGATTACAGAGCCTTACTGGCCTGGTTGAATCCACCTAAACCACGTCCTCAGCGAAGTGAGAAGCGCTGAGCGACCTGGCGAAACTGGGAATGGGAAACGGTAGTAACAGAGGGATCGGCCGTCCGCTGATTTGGGTGGTCCGGCGGTATGTGCGGCGAATTAGTGGGGGGTCCAAGTGAAAAAGGGTTTTTGCTTGTCCGGGGGGTCGGTCCAACTACAGTGAGCAGCACTGTATTCAGAATGGGCATGGTGGATCGTGCCCGCGGCTGAATCTCGTTTTGGCCTGGAAAATGTCGGGCAATATTAACAGAAGAGCACCCGAGTGGGCAACAACCAATTGTGTACTGTGTGCAATCAGTAGTCACACGGCAGATAGCGGGAGCGAAGAAAGAGCGGCCGAGGAAAGCACCGTAAAAGTGCCCGGACGGAGCATTTCCATTCCACCCCACACTTGGATAACGTGCACTGAACGTCCGTTACCTTACCTAAGGTTGACAAGTCCAATATGAGGTGACGATGGTGCATTGGCGAATGTTGCAGTTGCGGTCGCAGTTGCAGTTGTAGTTGCGGTTGCGTCGCAATCGTCGTTTACCTACCACGGATGGTCCAGCGTCTCCTTCGAGGCTACTAGTGTATGTGTGGTCTACCTGTTGCTGCTATGGGTGGCTATCTCGGCGTTACTGCCGCAGAAATTTACAAAAGACAAGACGAATAGGAAGTTTGGCGGTTGACGGCATCCAGCAAGGGAGAAAAGCTTGTGTTGAGCCTCAAGAGGAGGCAAGCAATGTAAACGGACCAATTTCGTACACGAAGCTTCCACGCCCAGGTTATGAGTCAATATCTTACCTACTTTGGACGAGAACTTATCTTGGGTATTCTCAGATCGCAATCAAGTAGAATAGAGCGCCGCCTGTCTCCCGTCTCCCGTCTTCCTGTGCCGCGATTGATGTCTGACGTTCGATCAGGAAGACACATGCGTGCCTTGAAGCGATGAAAAGTTCAAGAGGCCAGACTTGTCCGAAGCGGAAGATGATTCGGCGTCATTCCGGCTCCTATAACGACTTGCGTCTTTTGAACCGATATGGATGTGGGCCAGGAAGTAGCGGCCAGAGAAAAGAGACCACTGACGAGAGCCCATCGGGAGGCCTTGGTTCGACTTCGGACGAGACCTAGGATTGAGAATCGACACATTTGCCTTGGTCCCGACCCGACTGACGGGCAATGGCCGGCGCCGCCGATCTGGACTCGGCGACTTCAGTGTTCGTGCTTGGTGGGCGTCACCATGTGCGGGCGGCAGGAATGCGGGGCGGCGCCAAGGTCAGAAGCGGGCGCGAAGAAGAGACGCTCAGAGCAAAGAAGCAAGCGGCGGGACGTAAGACAGTGTGCGACGGTGCGACGGCGCGACGGTATCCGCAGATTGCTTGCTGCGAGCCTTTGGGTGTAGACAAAAGTCACGGCTTTAGTCTGGCAACATCGCGTATGGTTTCCAACCTGAATGTTACGACAACGTATCTTGGAATCCAAAACACTCAGTCGACAAGAAAGACGAAGAAAAACAAGAACAGCCAGAGACTACACCACTGTAGGTGTTCGCTACGAAAATGGGATGTAACTGGAAACTGCACGCGATGGTGTTTCCACCGAAGTGGCCGAAGTTGAAGCGATGAAACTAACGTAGCTGGCTTAGCGCCGTCTCGGAGAGGACAAGCACCCACCCACGACGGCAGCGGGGGCGTTGAGCTGGGGACGGTGGACACAAATGGGACACATTGGGGATGGGATGGGATGGAGAGACACTGCTGTAGGTATCTATCATTGCCCGTATCCGTAGGTAGGTATGGTACTGAGATGAAAAATAGATATGCACTTATCAAGGTAATGACTTCTGGCGTGAAGGGATGGAACGTATAGAGTACCTCAGGTAAGGTATGATAGCGTGCGCGCCCCTCGGGCCTACCGCGGTCTTTCTTTCCCCCTCCTTTTCCATCCACTCAGCGTGTTTTCCGGCCGCGTATTGACGGAACACTGCATTTATTATACTCCCATTTTCTATTGCTCTTTCCGCGAGCGACGCCGTCAAAGAATTCCAGACAAGCAGTACCTGCACCGTTCCAATATCGCCTGACGGAATAATCTCCACCGTTGATTGACCGGGCTTGTCTTTTCCTGAGGTCTGTTTTACTGCATACCTGTGAATAGGTATCCGCGAGGATGCTTACGTGCCGTAATGCAGGGCAGAATCGGCCGAGACTTTGAACGAGCTGGGTCCCTCAGATCCAGGTTGTGCCTCGTGACAGTTTCCATTTCCACTTCTTCTTGGTGAGCTCGACGTCTCCATTCAAAATCCATATTACTCCGCGTTCTCTCCGCTGAGTTGGTTGGCTTTCCTGGCTTTTTCTACCTAGGTACTGTACGGGCAGGTACTTTTGACCAATTGCTCTGTTGCAAATATGACTGCGGTCCGGACTACTTGGCGACCGACATGCCGACTTTCTCTTGCGTAATGAGCCTGCGTTCGACATACGGCCCGAATTCCTACCTGGCCACGGTCAACCAGCCCGTAGAGACTTAGTTTCACTGGTGGTTGATACTTGTTTGCCCGAACAGAATTTCTCCGCCATATCAAGAAAGTAAGCAACATACCTTACCTGATCAACACAGCCACGGGCTTGGCATCGACATCTCCCGTGCTGACTTACACACCCCAGCAAATGTCTTTGTCTTGCCTCGAGGCTGGGCCTGATCGATGTGAAAGTGCTATGAATGATGAATTTCGGTACAGAATAATCATTGCGACGACATGGTTTCAGTAAAGAGCCACTGCCATCGTTACCACCATCGGCAACGCTAAATTGAACGTCTCCATCACCACTTGCCTCGTCACCATCTCTTCCATCTGTACATGCACATTGCACGACTAGGTTGGTTACTGACTAATCAATCCACTTGGAAGTCTGTCGTGAGAGACCACGACTTGTCTGTCACTTCCGTGGTCCGCCTCAGCCGCATCCCGCATCCCGCATCCCGTACGTAAGGTATCCCGCCCGTACCCCCTCCCCGTCCTCCGCCTCCGTGTCTCTTCTCCGCAATCCACCTTCCGATTGTTTGGCCCTCAACTGACGGCACAACGACGACGGTTACCCTCTCTTTATTGCCCGTTCCTCTATTTGCACTGCACTCAAGAACGTTTCCCCCCACTTCCTGTCAAAGGCCAACGTGACCTGGCGCCTCCTTTATTACGAGTTCGATTCTTTCCCCGCCCGCAGACCAAGCTTATACTCGTTGCGCCGACTCAGAGGGGTTTGCAATATCGCATGAGCGTCGACCACTCTCACCCTGTGTTTTCCGCTGCCGGCCCTATACATGACCCTCTGTCCGGCCGTACTTGACCTCGCGTAGGCCGATCTCGCCGGAGACAACGTCACGAGTAGCTTCAGCCGTACTCGCACGTCTGAGCCACGCGTCTCCATTCCCAGACAGTTCGCATTCGCCAGGCCCCGCACAGCTTCGTATCCAGTTCCTCGCAATCTTCATCCGCCGCTGCGCATAAGGCAGTCAACCATCCAGCTCCAACTCAAGAAGATGGACGTTTCGAACGTGAACAAACCCGCCTCGCCGGTGCCTTCATCGGCAGCCGTATCGGATGCTGACCCAGCCAGCCCGGCTTTGTCTGCCCTGGCTCGCTTCGAGTTCCAGGCAGGCAAAGGCAAAGAAGGCACCAAAATTCTCATGGTCGAGTGGGATCCTTCAACCTCGCACGCTGACGCCGCGCCATCCGCTGTCAGGACCTGGCAAGTATCGTGGGAGGGCAAAACGAGCCATCTTCCCGTCGATGACGAGGAAACCGGCACAAATAAGCGCGTCTACTTTCTTCTTCCACCAGGATCCCCTATCCCCCCTGTGGTCACCATCACTCATCCCGACGGGGTGACTCTTACTACCAAGCCACTGCCGGCCATCTTTCCTCCTGGTTTAAGTGCCGCCAGCTCGGAATCCGGGACGAGGGGTATTTTACACACCATTTGGGCCAAGAAGCGGCTCGCCGAACTGCAGATCGAAATTGATACCGAAATGAAGACCAATTTTGAAAGCGTTGGACTTGAAATCGCTCTTCAGGAGCGGCAGTGGATTACCGACCACTTTGGTGTTACGCCTCGGGTCGACATGAACACGAAAGCAGACACGTCGTCTTCTGCGCCTGGGGCCTTACCTAGTCCTATATCACCTAGGTCACCCGTCAGCGGCAAGCTTGGGGAGAAACTCAAAGGATTGAGACTGGCAACGTCCGCGGCTGACCTCGTGGCTGGCTCAGCTGGTAAGCTGCCCGTTGGGACTGTGAACATGACCTTGATATAGACTAACCCCATACCCTCTCAGGCAAACATGCGCACCTCTACCCCATATCATTCTCTCCCGCCTCTGGTGACTTGGCGGTGTCGTCCTTCTCGAACTTTGCTCGGCAGCCTTCCAAAATGAATTTGGAGGTCTCTCATTCACTGGATGCTGTACTAGGTAACAACAACCCGGTCCCTCCGACGAAGCAGGATCATGACCAGGAGGAGGATCTCTTTGCGCTCCCCATGAGCCCTCGTAGCCCAGAGATGGGGCGTAGTCCGTTCAGTCTTCGGTAGCCCAGACCTCTGATCCGGCGCACCTTACGAAAATTTCATCGGCGAGCCATTCGATAGAACCTGCATAGCATAGCGTGGACTTTTTGGGCCGGCCATCGGCTGATCGGGCTGAAACGTACAGTTGGCATGTTGTCTTTTGATCCCGCTGATATGGCAAAGCGGATTACCTTGTCCCAACAAATTGAAAACCTATAACAAGTGGCCGTGAACCCCCACCTGATGATGTTGGTATATTGGTATCCGTAGTGACGCTGTACGTCCATGCACTCGAAGCAAAATCTCGCAGACGGTGCCTGCCACCGACGACTCACCGGCTTTTTTTACCACTATGACACGACAGCCTTGATCAGCGTTCCAACATCACCGCCAGCCACCAACTCGTCCCTCATCCCAGCGCTCCTTTCTCTCCTGCCGCAAATAATAAAGCACCTTGGCGTCCCTATATCTCTTAATCCAGTCTAGGGTTTCCCTCTCAGATGCAAAAGCACCATCACCCTCTCCATCGATGAAGCTCTCTTCCAGAACATGGCACACGGAAGCTTGTTCGTGCACCCCCTGCCCTAGTCTCTGGTAGAGCGAGGCCGGTGAAAAAGGCGCCAGCGCATGGTCCATATCTGACTGTTTCTGCCGCCACTGGCGCTCCAGAGCATGTGTCGAGAGAAGCTGTGCTTGTGCAGTTGACCGCTGGTGTGCTAATCTAGCCTCGAGCCCGACGAGGCGACCAGCGATGTCGAGGTTCTCGGCCAAGGCGGCCTGGAGAGCTTGATGGGACGAGGCTAGAGAGGGGTGAATCGTACTCGGCGCATGGGTGAGAGAGTTGAGGAGGTCCGAGTTCGTTGCGATGTCGGCAAGGTCTTGTTTCCTGTGCCACGGTCAGTGAAGGCAGACGCTGCCGGGAACAGTTCATACGATTTGTCTTCCAACATCCTCGGAAGCCACTGATCGCCTGGGTCGGAGATAGGCTCTGGTCGCGCAAACTCGAGACCGGCTGGGGGATATACACGCCCTCCCCCAGTGCCATCGGCATCATGACCAAGTCCAGCGCCAGGTCGGGGCGAATTGGACACGGTGGGCGTGCCGATACGACTGGTTTCGTGACTGCCTGGCTTGGGCGGGAGCGAGGGAGGCGGGGGATCGTGGCCATGCATGGCGGATCAACGTCGTGAGTGACCGTTTGATGTCCAGCAAGAAACACGACAACGGCGGGGCAGGTCTGAAAGGAATGATTAAATCACGTTGCTCTCATCCCAAAACGGTGTTGGCTGCTGCGACATGGTGAGAGTGACATACTGCGTGACGAGACCAGCCGACGTCAGCGATTGGGTTCCATAGCCGGCAAGTCGGTGCGATAGTGTCCGACAGGCACAGGCCTAGTCGGGTGATTACCTAGGTACTTAGGCACCTCAAGGTAAGGTATCCAATAGGTACCCAGGTTAGGTAGGTAGGCTGTGAAGCGGGGGAGATAAGATAACAGCCGGGCCGCGAGAAACCTTTTCTGAACTTACCCTCGCCTCCCACTCAATCCTATGTCAAGACTTCAGCGTTGTCAACCAGGGCTCTTCATTTTGACCTGCATTTTGTTCAGTACATTAGATACGCTGGTATTCCACGTGTACTTTCTGGGACCTGGACGCCAAAGCGCAAACGCCCCGCTCATCGAGCTACCGGATGTCTATCCCCCTTTCCCTCAATGACATTATACAACTATTCGACAGAGGGTTGAGAGAATTTCCTCTCATCCCTCCACGACCTGGGTAGATGATTGTTCACTCGCTTCAAAGTATCCATTTCATGGCTTTACCGACCATAAATCGCGGGACCAACCCATTTCCCGCAGCTTCTTGCTGCTTGAATTAACTGCCTTCTTCTCCCCTGAGGCGATGGCAAGGGCCTTGCTGCAGCCGGCAAACGACTCAACCAACTCCTTCATTCTGCCGGCTTTGACGAAGCAGGCCGCAATGTCCGAGTCCTTTTCAGCGATAGTAGCCGCCAGCTCCATGCACTCCAAGAAGTTGTCCCTCGTGAGGGTGGTGCCAGCGAAGTGCAAGGTACTGATGTATGCGAGGAGAGTCTCGGGCAAATATGCGTCGCGCAGAATCTCCAACTCCTGGTCGTCTGTATATCTCGAGTCAGCATCAATCGGCAAGAAAGAGCCAGCAGAAACTCACCTGAGCCCAAAAGCCAGTTCTTCAACAATGGCTTCACGTGATCCTTGGCACATTTGACTTCATTGCCGACCTTGGTCCAGAAGTCTCTCTTGACGGACGGGTCCCTGGGACTAGTGAGTAACCGGTGATGATGCTGAAGTAAGATTACATACTCCTTTGAAAGCTCCGCAAGTGACGCGATAGTCTCCATTGTGTCCAAGGCCTTCACAAGGTACTCGAGATCGCGCAGTGTTCGTGCCTCCGAAGCAAGCCGGGAGGGGGAAAGTCGAGACACATCCGCCGTTTCAATCTGGCTGGCCCAGAACTCCGCATCATCAGACCACGACTCGTTCTCGTCTTGATCTGAGAAATCCATCCGTTGCCGCATGATGGTGCCAAACGGTACCCGGTTTGCCAAGCTCCTGGCGGCATTGAGACGCATGTGCTCTGCTCCATGTCAGTGAATCTGTGCCGGCCAAGGCAGCCATTGGATACTTACTTAGGAAATACTTATACACCGCGACACCCACACCAAAAACATCCGGCCAAGCCTCATCAACCAACAAGAGCCACTCGACGGAACGAATAAGGCGATCGTCAGAAGCATCAATAGACTCAGGGTCTTCTCCAAAGAAGTCCGTCTTGATGGCGCGTCCATATTTTAGGGATGCCGGTGCTTGTTCCATGATCTGGAATTGCCCTTTGGCAGGATAGGAATCCGCAATCTCGTTCCCCAGCGCTTTGAACAGAAGCTGCGGCTGAGTTCTGACAAACTGCAGCACATCAAGTCCGGCTTTGCGGATGAGGCTGAGCTGGAGAAGACGAGCTTCATGATCTGTGATCGGCAGGATATTGGTACTCAGAACTTGGAACGCCCTCGAATGGTCAAGTCGGGAGCAGTAAAGGGGGATCAGCTCATCGTAGCCCGCTAGGCGAAGCAAGCTGATGTACGCCGTGATCGCATTTTCCTGTAGTTTGCGGCGATCATAGTCGGCACTGAGCGTGGGAGACACCGCTGGTGTTCCAAGCTTGTCCAAGGTGGCGAAGATGATGAGAGCATGCACTGCGAGCCGCAGGCGGTCGGGGGAGTGCATGTCAGCAAACTTCTCATGTGGCACGATGACATTGCGACAGCTATCATCAGGCATAAGAGCCGATGGCTCCTCCGAATTGGCCTTCTGGGTAACGGCTACGCCCTGTTCGTAAAAATGGCGCTCGAGATCTTTGGATATGATGGCAGCCTGAAGCGCCTTTACAGGCTCAAATGCTTCCTTGTTCGTGTGCGGGTTGGTCTCCAACGACTTGACCAGACGCTGCTCCAATGTAACTGGGTCACCGTGGAATTGAACAGCGTCGAAGGCAGCGAAAGACGAGCGGAGGGAGGCCGATACTTCTGGGGAGCACTGGCCCAACATGAATGCGTCGAATTGGGTCCGGACGAGAGCGTTGTAGTGCACGAACATGAAGTCGTCCCATGTTTTGCATACTTTTTGCACGCTCGGGATGTCTCCTGACAGCACTCCGTAGACGGCTCTTTCAATGTCATCAGAGCCGCCCTGACGAGCAAGTGCAAAGCACATGCGTCTCCAAAGGGCGAGAGCAGGCGGATCGTCCACCAACTTTGTCACACCGTGCTCGTTCGCAAGAGGCAGGGCAGACATTGACACCGCCCTCCAAACTTCCGTCCTCTCTAGACACCACTCCCGTATGGCCTCCAAGTTGCTGCCTCTACGGAGGAGCTGGAAGCAACCAACCCATATCGCTCGTTCAAAGTACTCGTCTTGCGGTTCAAGCTTTCGTCCCTGCCTGGTTACGGCATCTGGATCCAGCTCGGCGACAAGCGGCGCCTTGTCTGAGTTGACAAGTGAACGCGCAACTTCTGGAAACTGAACATCCAGTGGACGCGCTGAGCCTATGACACCCTTCTGCAGCTTGATGGCGGACCTCGTGTGAATCCAACCATGAGCGATAATGTCTCCTCTGTCGGCGTTCTGCTGCAGCTCCCGGACCAGATCGTCAATATCGGGCCCGTCTCTCGCGCCATGTTGGAGCCATTCCAAGACTGTTTTCCTCTCCACAGCCAACTGGTCCTTCTCTAGGAAATCGCTCCAAATATTGCCGCTCGTTTGATTTGCTACCACGGCATCTGACGGTTTCCGGTTCATGGGTGTTTGTGAGGGATATCTCAAGGGAATTAGCCGACGTGCGAGGTCCCATGTTTGCCTTTCTTGCTCCCATGCTCGAATTTCTTCTAAGCTCGGCGTTGGGTCGGCCTCTTCGTCATCGTCGAGGTCCATCTCGGTGTCGCCAACGGAGCCTTGGCGGGCCTGATTGCGTAAATGCGCCAGCTTTTCTTCGGCATAATCGTAGTAGGCGGTCACCAGTCTCAGTATCCTCGTGCGCTTGTCGTCAAGCGAGCCATGAGGTGCGAGGCAGTCATCGAGGGCGTTCGCGAAGACCTCGAACTCGGGGCCGATGTGAAGGTCCATCGTCGATACAAGGAGATCGCAGAGTCGGAATGTAGAACCCTGTTTCTGGTACTGTTCCGTCTAGATGCAGTATTCGTGTATCCTATGTGGTTGCTCGCAGGTCGGGCGGCGCATCGGATCACTAAACTTCCGCCAACGCTTAGCCGTGTTCATTGAAATACGCGCGCGTGGTACGAACCTTCTCCAGCTATGATGCTAACCGAAGTCACTGTGTGATGTTCAGGCCTTTATCGCGAAAAGGCTAAAGCGCTTGATCGTCCGCGGCCGGGAAAATTTGGTGCAGATTCCAAAACCTCTTTTTCTTGGTCAGTGACAAGATGTCGGAGTCGCGAGCAAAAACGCTTGTGGAAAACGGTTGCAACTGGGCCTCAGTAGGTGACCAGGACCCCAAATACGACCAGAAAATCTGCGGCAGCGCGTAACAACCTGTGAAGAGAAGAGTCGCAGCCCAAGGAATACCTAGGTCGGGACATCAAATCGCCAAAAACAACAGCCCGCAACCTAGCAGAGTTCAGTGAGGTCGATTGTCAAGCAACGGCTGAGAAGCGCGCAGGGGTGGACTAGGAATGGATCGTTTGACGATCTGTGCTGGCCCGCGGTCGCGTTTCTGGCACAAATTAGAAGGTACACCACGCAGTGGAGCTGAACTGGCAGGCGGTCAACCTACGCACTGTGAAGACGCGGCCGACTACGCGAATAGCTAGTGTTCATGTTTTTATACGTACTGTATGGGCCTTCACCGCATCCTTTTTGTTCGACGCATCGTCAAATTTTTTCTAGTTTCTTTCCTTCCCCTCATCAATGTCAAGGCCTTCATATTAGAGTCTCGGAACAAGCATTCAATGCTTGTTCAGGTCCCACGGGGCTTCTTGCGTGCTAATGAACGCCTAGAGTGACTTGCCCTCTTTCAAAATGTCGCCAGATTCAATTCTATTCGGGTTGACGTATGTACGGAAGATTGGTACACCTTACTGCCGCCGACCTAGCTAGCTAGATACCTTGATTGTGATTGTTGATTCCCCTCCGTTGATTCTCCTGCTGTCGTGTAGACTCATCACTTTTTCGACTGAGACTCCTCCCGCAACCTACTCAGCTTCAACTGCAGGAGATGTGGCTTAGGACAGCTTGCTGATACCGCGTCGTCGCCCTGTGCGCGATAAAAAGCATCACAGCACTCGTACAGCGCCATAATAACGGGCCGGCACCTGTCTTCGTCGTAGTTGTTCTTGGTCAAGCAATCTGACATCAGGGAGCGCTGAATTAGGGTGACGCAAGTCCAAGAAGCGGTCGTGGTTTGTAACTAGAACTCACTCTGGATCGCGCACTTCACCTCGTCAGGGAACGAGTTAGCTCTCTGGTCGGACACGCTGGTGCTGGTCGGGTCGTCTCAACTACATACGGCGCGAGGATGGCAAGCAGGCTTTGCTTTGAGATCTTCGTTCAGTCCCTGGATGTGTCTATTAGACGAGGCTCGGTGGTTAACAGGCCGGGAAGCAAATATACCATGATTCAGTGCTATCTTTTGTGATTCTTGTCGGCGATGCCGATGAAGTACGCCTCCGATGAAGAAATTGAAGAAGGCGAGGCTGTTTAGGCGTTGGTTGACTGAGGTGACGTGCTGCGTCCCAGTCAGGGAAGCAGGCACCCCGCTGACCTCATCTTTCATTCCTCTGCCTGAAGTGGCTCGTAAACTTCAAATATGGTTGACCGGCTCCGTCATCTATTGGCTGGAGGCAGCACTGGAATCAAAAGTTATATACCTGCCTTACTCGATTTGTTTCCTGTCATTACCAACCCTTTTGTGCTGAAGGACCAGCTGAGATCGTTGGATAAAGTAGGTACCTAAGGTAGGTTCTTGTGGTAGGTAGGTACCTAGGTAGAAGCGACGACAGGCAGGTAGACAGGCATCAGTACTATTGCAGGGGGGCGGGGGGGGCAACAGCGCGGGGAGCCTCACAAAACCTTGCCCTGATCCTGTCCAATCATATGCCCTGCGTCCCACCTACCTCACCTTCCACCTTTCACATTTGCAGTCGGCAGCGCCTGTCTAGACTCCCCACGTCCTCCTCGTCCGCGATACCTTAGGTAAAGGTACCTACCTTACTTGGCTTCCGTCTCCAACCTTCCGCGCCAACGCCTACATCTTCTTCTACATTCAACACGTAATCGCGTCCTTTTCTTGTGCCTCCTACTTGATCTGCGTCGACTCTACATTGCGCCTGTCTCTCATAGAGCACAACCTTCCACAAGCAACTTCGCAGTCACGCCAGCAGACAACGTACGTTTCGGTTGCGCTGCGATCCCTATTAGCTTTCCCAAAACTTCCAGACCGACCTTGCTGACTTTTCGGGACGCGCAACAGTTACACCATGTCCGGCGAACACGAGAACGGCTCTCCCGCCGCCGGCGGTCAAGATGCCCCCGCCGCCGTTGAGCACCTCAACATCAAGGTTACGGACAACAACAACGAGGTCTTCTTCAAGATCAAGCGCTCGACCAAGCTTGATAAGCTGATGACGGCTTTCTGCGAGAGACAGGGCAAGGCTGTCAACTCCGTTCGTTTCCTCTTCGAGGGTCAGCGCGTCCAACCTACGGACACTCCGGACACTGTAAGTGTCAAGTCGTCTGTCTGACTTTACCGTTCCGCTGCACTCGGTACTGACAAACTTCCTTTATTAGCTGGAGATGGCGGACGGGGACACTCTCGAGGTGCACCAGGAGCAGGTCGGCGGTTCTTACTAGACGATCGAGCGCGAGGTGGGCGAATTGGCAGGGAGCGATGGGTTTCGTCTTATCCGAGATGGCTACGGTCATTCGAGAGTTGAGCGCATGGACTGACGGTTTCGCACGTTTACAAGATCCATATCAAGACAGTCTATGATGATTATGACATTCACGCAATCTTGTTTCTTTCCTCATCTGTTGTTTTCGAGTGCTATAAAACGCCGCGTGCCCCAAACCCATGCATTCCCATAACGAGAGATCAATCGCACTGCTCAAAATCAACGCCAGTTCGCTCAACCCCCACCTCAAACCCGCAACTCCTGAAGTCCTTGTCTCATAGCCCGAAAGGGCCACTTCATAACTCATTATGCCTTGAGCTCAATCATGCGGCATCGTGTGCAAAGTACAATCGTCTTGTCCCCGTCCTCCTTAGGGAAGATCTGGCCGTCATCAAAGCCTCCATTGCACGAGTTACAACGGAAGCATTCTTCGTGCCACTCTCCGCCCAGTGCCCTGATATACTGTCCAATAACGGCACATCTGCACTTCTTGCATTTGGGCGCTCGTCGTTCCGTCCGCTTGGTCTGGCAGTTGATACACCACGCGTACCCATCCTTCTCAATATGCGTCATGCCCTTCTCAAACGGGTCTCCGCACTCGGCGCAGAAGAAATGTCCATAGTGCCAATGCTCACCAAGCGCGACAACATGCTCTCCGAGAATTGGCGTTTTGCAGTGTTTGCACCTTGGCGCAAACAGCTCATGCCAGTCCAGATGGCAGTAGAAACGCAGACGCTCATCGCCATCTTCAGCCATGGTTTTTCCTCGCTCCTCTTCAAGTCTCTCTCCATTCGTTCGGCGCCTGATCCTGTCCAGGCGAGCCTGACGATGAGCCTCCGGCTCGGGGCTGATCTCCAGAGCCTCGAGACCGGTACCACAAGCAAAGCAACTGAAGCACTGTGGATGGAAACGCTCCGATAATCCCGCTAGCGAGACGAACCTGCCCTCTATGGGGAAGTCGCACTCGTAACACAGCGTCGTTGACCGGATGCCAGACCCGGGAGCATGCGACCAATGCCGCTGCGGTCGCTGGAAAGGACGTCCTCTGGACGAAGCGGCCTTGGGATCAGGCAAAGGTCGCGGCCCAGAGTTCGCCGCATCGTCCTCGGGTGTGATAATGACGGGTATGCCGGAGTGGCTGCCGGCCGGCTCGTCCACGCCCGCAATACTTATGGACGGCACGGCCGGGACCCGGCGTGTGTTGTTCGTCGGGGGATCTTCCGGCGCCACCACGATAGAAGGAATCTCCATCGGCTGGGTCTTTTGACTCGCAGGTCCCGAGTTGGGGATGCCGAAAGCCGATCCTGGCCTAGAATCAGTCTTCTCGTCCGGAGCTTTCCAGTTCGAGTCGAAGCTTACAATCGGCCGTCCAGGTCGATCACTGACGGCCGTGGGCGTGGGCAGTTTCGCACTGCGGTCTTTCAGCTTCATGCTTGTAGCCCCCCTAATATCATCACTGCGAATCTCCATTCCATTCTTCTTTGGTACTGTCTCTTCTGTCACGGGTTTCGCAGCGGGAGCGTTGGTTGTGTACTGCGGGTTGCGTGATTGAGAGGGTGGGTTCCGATGAATCTCAACCTTGCATCTGGGTTTCCAGGGCGCGACTCGGTCAGCTGGGGGTCCAGTGGCGAAGCGGACTTGACTCTGAGGATTCTTCGGCTTATCGACCAAAGGAAGATCCGACATTTTCTCGGACTTGGGTTCTGCCGTTACTTTGCGGGTCGAGCCTTCTGGCTCTTCCCAAATCTGGTCACCGGAGAACGGTTTCTCGACCTCACCGCTGATGTTACGCTTCATGCTGCTGCGGCGGCGACTAGAAGATGTGACGCCAGAATTGGAACGAACGGGGCCAGCGAGACCTGAAGTTCCAAAATCCAGTGAAGGGCGCTCAGGGCTCTTGTCATCTCTGCTGTGGCTCTCACGCGACATAACCAGGGAGGGGCGTCCCTCACTATCGGTCGAACTGCCCGAGCATGACCTTGGCTCGTCTCTTGCTAGACTGGAGGGCACGATCTCATCGCCGTATTTCCCAACACTGGCCGTGCGGGCATGGGCATAGCTGTTCTTCCTCATATGGGGCTTGTATCGGTACGGAGCATTGGGGTCGGGAGAAGCCACTCCGTTTCGGTGTTGCCAGACAAGCTCCGAGGCCTCGTCAAGAGCGGCGTTGTAAATTCGAGTTTCATCCTCCTGTGAAGTGGTAGTGGCGTTGTCGTCCACCGCACTGGAGACTTGCTTCTGAGAAGCAGAGCTTTTATTATCCTTGATGCGCATGTCATCCATGGCTTGGCGGAGCGACACGGCTTCTTCTTTTTCCATCCATCTCTGTCCTCGCTCCATGTACGTGTCGGTGGGCACGACTTCTGAAGGCTTCAAAGGGGTTGTAGAACGAGGAGGATAGTAATCGCGTCCCGAGACGCTGGACATGGAATAGCGGGAGGAAAAGCTGGCGCTGGCCGGTAGAGGGCTCGGTCGCGTGGAGGGAGCGTCGTTAGAGCTCAGGGCGGATATGGCAGGGCTCTCAGAACGAGGAACTGGTTCGGAGATGCTATGCTGGTCATAGGCAGGCCGTTTGGATCTTGCAGTCGACGAGGGAGGCTGAGGTCTCGCGCCGCCGGGGCGGGCAACACGGTTGTTCCTGAGATTTGCCAGGTACGCAGCTAGACAGACGACAAGTTAGCAACAGATCGGAAATAGGACCCTGGCAGAACCGCTCCTCCTCACCGAATTGATCGTTGTTCATGTAAGATGGTGACGGAGGCGTCACCTTCCGCGTCCTCTCAGCGCTCCTCCGGCGATGCATGATGGAATGGGCTCGCAGCTAACGACCCAAGAAGAAGGCTCAATTTAACAAAGGAAGTCGAGTTGACGGGTCTGCTGACGAGCCCGGCCTCGGATGTGGTCTGTCGCGCTTTGTGGTGGATGAGAGGGAGCAGCAAGATGCTGGGGCATGCGGTGAAGGGCTTTCGGTGTTTGGGGGAGAGTTTGCTATTGATGTAGTGATGCTGACTATGGCTATGGCTTCTGTCGGTGGAAAAGGCACACGAGGAAAAGTCGGTGGCGTCTTCGTCGCCCGAGGAGCCGAATCGAGGTGTTGAAGATATATCTAGGCCATGTGGTCGGCGCTGGTTGGTTGTCCCGGCAACAATGGCTCCCAGGTTTGTGGGTTCGCGGAACATCCCAAGGCTTCCAGGTTGTGTAAGGTAGGTAGGTAGGTAGGTACCTAAATGTGAGTGCGTCCAATCCGGACTGGTGAGATCTCCCCCGCCATAGTCTGGTTAATCCAACCTAAGACCACTGCGCTCCTGATCAGTCTGGGGGACAGGTCCGATACTTGTAACCGCCGCCCGCACCACCCAATCCAATAGGTAAGGTAAGGTAATGTCACCTCCCATAATGGCCGTAGTACGCTGTCCTCCTGTTTTCAGGTGGTGGGGGCCTAGACCTACGACACCGCCGCATCACACAGGCGGGCGATCAAGGAACCCAAGCTAGGTGCCTACCTAGATAGGTAGGTACCTATAGAGGTCGGCAGGTAGGTAGGGAGCCAGATTCCATCCATAGGTACCTACCTACCTACCTAGGTACCTAGGTAAGGTACCTTGGGTGCCTGCAAGTTGCATTTGGTGAGGCTCTCTGTCACGTACAATACAACCCCTGAATTATTGTTAGCGCGGTACGTATGTCGCAGTCAGAATAACTATCGCGTTGATATAATTGCTTATGTTGGCAGTTGTTAAGAATGTTGTTGCGAAGGTAGTTTACTCATGTTTCATTACAATAATACAGGGTGCGTATTGTACCTTACCATGTAAGGGGCCCAATAGGCGGTCAAATATTGCGGTCTAAATGCGAGTCGCTGGAACATTCCCCGTGCTCTCGATCCATTGGTGTGTCGAGTCTGTCGTCCCGTCAGAGATGGTCTGTTTACTGCATCCATACAACTTGTTTAACATGACGACTACACGTGTAAACGAGTGTAAACAACATTGCTGGGTTCACAGGCAATGATGCAAGGGCTGGACCGAATTGGAGTAAGTAGTTAAGCACGCGGCGTTTGTTTCGTGATCGAAGTGAGTCACTCACGCAATAACAGATATCAATACTCTCTCAGCATTGGGCAATGCGAATAATGCATGAAACTTCCTTGTTACGGGTGGACTTGACGCATGAAGATGCCATTTTGACAATCTCCTTTCGCTTTCCAGTTTTTGAGCAAACAGGGCTTTGGAGATTGGCTTTCCCCCTTACGTACTCGTACAAGACTTAACGTTACAAGAGATGATGGCACTTGCCCCGCGCGAGCGCCTCTTTTTCTCTGCCAGCAGCCAGCCTTCAACCAAGACATTACGCGGCCATGTGTGCACGCAGTGTTTCTACCCCAAGCGAGTTACCATCTCAGTTCGCCAGGTCGCGCATCGTTCTCTTTCCTCGAGGCGCCCTGGCCTTGTCCTTGTCCGTGGCCCTTATTACTTGTCACCTGCTCGTTGCCAAACCCTAGATTTTTGAAATCATCCTTGGCCATAAGATTCCTAACCAGCAACCACTACCGTCAACACTGACAACTCGGGATACCCGCGAAGATACTTGCGATGGGCTCGCTCATGTGCCTTACCTATCCATGCGGCAAGCCAAATATGACTTGGCAAGATCGCGACATTCCGCGTCGTTGACACCGCGAACTTTCTTGATGCACTCGAGATAGTTTGCGATGACGTGCTTGCACTCGCCTGGCTCTTCACGTCAGGACATGCTCCGCAATTTGGTGTCTCCACTAGGCTCTTGTATTCAAGCGCGCTGCAGTTCAATAATCTACTCACCATCGTGGTCAAGGGGAAAACTCCCACGCTGAGGACTACCGCCAACGAAGAACAAGGGTTAGAAAATCTTGTTGCGTGAACCACGCTAGAAACGACGACAATACGCACGGGATGGGTTTGGCGTTGGCCTGTCGAGCTCCGGGACCACCGAGTTGACTCATGATGTGTTCGGCGCACAAATATATCGTTTGGAGTGTTTGGTTGCCGTTACTGTGAGTTGTAGAAGAGAACTCAACTTGACCGATGGGATAAGAATCTAAGCTGAAGCTACCTCAGGTAGTTGGTTAGGTACTCATTAGCACTTAACAAAACGTCATGCCACTTTCGTCCGACTGTGTCCACAACGGCTATCAGTCCTTCGCGAAAAGGCGAGAATTCAACCAACGTCTAGGAATTCGAAATGAGAACTGGCCGCGCCTGGAGTCTTGCTCAGCCAGGTAGGTAGGTAACCATTGACTGCTGGACGGGACCTGACTGGACCGTTTTCTCCGGCCAGGAATATCTACAGACCGATCGCACTGGATGGACCTTGCCTACCTAAGGTACCTAGGTCGGGCAGGTCTTCCAGGTTACCCAAGGTTAGGCCCAGGTAAGAGGTACCTTAGGCACCTCCACTGTTCCTGGAGGTCACGGATCCATCCTGAGTACGTACCCGGAGTTCCCATTTGTCCAGTTGGCGTTGACGTGTGAAGCCCCTAAGCCCCTAAGGTATCCATAGCCAGCGAGCACAACAGCATTACGTCCCTTGTACTGAACTTTCTCTGAGAATGGCGGTTGTGGATCGCATGAATTCTTGAAATTGGACGACGCGCAGTATCGACATTTGCCATACCGATCTCATCCTCTCCGATACACCGTCTTCGAAGGGGTCTCGTGTCGCCCTTGAGTTTCTTTCCTATCTTCTACAAGAGTTTAGTCCGGAGCCATTCGAGCCAACCCTCTGACCAGCCCGCGCGCTCCCTTCGTTGGCTCTGTCCTGCGTTTCGTTTTTTTTTTTTGCGTTGCGTGCGTAGCGTTGCGGTTCGGTGCGGTGCGGTGCGGTGCTTTGCTTTCTCTCCTACCCCGAACTTCTTTCGGCCTAGGACAGGATACCTTCGGCCTCGCTCGTTCGCTCGACGAAACCTGCGTCTTTGGACCAGCTCGAGACATTCTCCGGGCACACCCAGCCGCTGGCCTCGCCTCGCCTCGCCTCTCCTCTCCTCCCATCGAGAGAATCAAGTTGCTCACCTGAGCCCTCACAATGGCGTCCCTGGGCGACGACCTCCTCACTACCGTCAACAAGTTGCAAGACTTGGTATTCAACACCATCGGCAACGACTCTCTTGACCTCCCTCAGATTGTACGTCATATAATCCCTCGAGCACGGGCTGTTCCGACAAGTCTGGCCACTGACTTTACGTGATAGGTTGTCGTTGGTTCTCAGTCCGCTGGAAAATCCTCCGTACTCGAAAACATTGTCGGACGCGACTTTTTGCCCCGCGGAAGTGGCATTGTTACCAGAAGACCACTGATCTTGCAACTGATCAACGTTCCCGAAGACGAGACTGCCGCCGACCCTCTGCAAGACCCGTATGGGTCTCCCGATGTTGCCCGACGATCCGAATGGGCAGAGTTCCACCACATCCCCAACCGTCGCTTCACCAACTTCTCCGATGTCAAGCGGGAGATCGAGAACGAGACGTCGCGCGTTGCTGGCAACAACAAGGGCATCAATAGGCAAGCCATCAACCTGAAGATCTACTCTCCGCACGTCCTCAACCTCACCCTCGTCGATCTCCCAGGACTTACAAAGGTACGCCGTTTGTCAACTTGACCGTTTAAATTACTGTCGGCCTTGGTACACAGTTCTAACTCTTGCGGAAAGGTTCCTATTGGCGACCAGCCCACAGACATTGAGAAGCAGACTCGCAATCTCATCTCCGAGTATATCGCCAAGCCCAACAGTATCATTCTCGCTGTTTCCCCGGCCAACGTTGATATTGTGAACTCGGAGGCTCTAAAGCTTGCTCGCCATGTTGATCCTCTAGGAAGGAGAACGATCGGTGTGCTCACCAAAGTTGATCTCATGGACCACGGCACAAATGCCCTCGACATTTTGTCCGGTAGGGTCTACCCTCTAAAACTGGGCTTTATCGGTGTCGTCAACCGTTCCCAGCAGGACATTCAGGGCAACAAACCCATGGAGGAGGCGCTCAAGGCAGAACAGGACTTCTTCAAGCATCACCCAGCATACCGGAACATTGCCAGCCGATGCGGAACTCATTACCTGGCCAAGACCCTAAACACCACCCTCATGGCTCATATTCGCGAACGCATGCCAGATATCAAGGCGCGCCTCAACACTCTTATGGGACAGACTCAACAGGAACTGGCGAGCTATGGCGACATGCATTTCAGCGGCAAAGAACACCGGGGTTCTCTCATTCTGCAACAGATGACACGCTTCGCCACGTCGTTCATATCTTCTATTGACGGCACCTCGACCGAGATCTCTACCAAGGAGCTTTGCGGCGGTGCCCGCATCTACTACATCTTCAATTCGGTTTTCGGCATGTCTCTCGAGTCCATTGATCCTACTTCCAATCTCTCAGCTTTGGATATTCGCACGGCCATTCGCAACTCCACCGGTCCCCGTCCAAGTCTGTTTGTGCCGGAAATGGCCTTCGACCTGCTCGTGAAACCTCAGATCAAGCTCCTCGAGATTCCAAGTCACCGATGTGTCGAACTGGTCTATGAGGAACTCATTAAGATCTGCCACACCTGCGGATCAACCGAGCTATCTCGCTTCCCTCGGCTGCAAGCCAAGCTCATCGAGGTTGTCTCTGATCTCCTACGTGAACGCTTGGGTCCTACGTCAAACTACGTGGAGTCCCTGATCTCGATACAGCGTGCCTACATCAACACAAACCACCCCAACTTCTTGGGGGCTGCCGCAGCCATGAGCAACGTCGTTAGCAACAAGCAAGAGAGAGAGCGGAAGCGTCTTATTCAAGAAGAAAGAGAGAGACGGGAGAAGAGAAGGTTGAAGGAACTCGGTACCAACGGCGCTGAGGCGCCCGAAGAGGAAGAGGGCCACTCCGTCACCGAGAAATCTGACTCGACAGCTCTGCGGAAGCAAGCCAGCAAGGGAGCGCGCAGCCTGTCACCAGGTGTCCGGGAAAACGGGGCTACTGGCCTGAACGCGGCTTTGAATGGTGCAAGATCCGCGTCTCCCTCCAGATTCAATGGCCAAGGTCTTGGCGGTGCGCGCGACTCATTCTTGACGTACTTTTTTGGCAAGGACGGTGCGTCGCCTATGGGTGCGACCCAAGGCATGTCTCCGTCGCCCAACTCCTCCATCGCTCGGCATGTCAACCAAGCTTCTGAGCCTACTTTCTCGCAGAGCATTCGGCGGACCGAAGACAAGATGTCGCTTCGCACGCCTACCCAGTCCGCGGGACGTGAGGACGAGTTTGACTTCAGTAATTCTACCAGATCTGTGGACTTTGGTGCTTCATTCGTAAGTCGTCTTCTGCAAAGGACAGGCTGTCGTAGTATACTGACTATGTGCAGGGCTCCACTGGCGGCGAACCAGCCATGACGGAGAGAGAGGCCATGGAGACGGAGCTAATCAGAGCTCTCATCTCTTCCTACTTCAATATTGTGCGCGAATCTATTGCCGACCAGGTTCCCAAGGCGGTAATGCACTTGCTTGTGAACCACTGCAAAGATGTCGTGCAGAACAGACTTGTCAGTGAGTTGTACAAGGAGGCCTTGTTCGAGGAGCTGCTGTACGAAGACGATGGCGTCAAGAAGGAACGCGAGAAGTGCGAGAAGCTGCTGCAGACGTACAGAGAGGCGGCCAAGATTATTGGCGAAGTGTTATAGATAGTTGTTGGAAAACAAAGCACAAACTGGGGCGAATCGGGCGCCCCTTGTTTATACTAGTCTTGTCAACTCTTCTTATTTCAGTTTCCGCCAAACGGTGATGGCAAGGGTCTAGATTCGGGGGCGTTTCAACGGGCACGGGCTTAGGAATGTCTCGAGGATCGACAGCACCACTATCGGTTCCTTGTCACGCGAACGCAGGTGCTGAGTGGCTCCTCTGCTGTACCATATGGTGGTTGCACACGTGTGTAATACAAGAGGCTCAACTTCACGGCAGCTGCCCACCCTATGTAGTATTTTGTGTTTGCCGACGTGAATGTGTCACGGCCTGTCAGAAATTACATTACATCTTGCTGTGCCACCTTCCAGGGCTCCAGACGGCGTACGGCCGAAGTCCTTGAATGATGTCCTTCCGATCCGCTTTGGCAACTCCTGTTCACGATAGTATTTCAGCGACCGTAATCTCGTCCAACGCTAGGCGGGCCCACAGGGGCCGGGTTTCGAGGATCGTACTCCTCATGAGATAGCGTATCGACTGCCGCTCGGGAATGCATAGCTGAGTGTTCTCGCATTCGTGTCAAAGGCGTTCGGGCGGCAGGCCTGCCTTCATGGACGGGTGGGTCATAAACGGGATCGGGGCGAGACGGCAGGTGCGTGTTTCGTTCCGGATGTGCTGGGTAGTGGTCATCGTGCAACATACGAGAGGGCTCACGCTCCCGCAGTATCGGCCGTCGTATGACATACTCGCCCTCCGCGTCCCGCACGTGAACAATCTCGTAGGTTTCTTCGTAAGCTTCCTCATAGCGCAACGGCAAGGAACGATTTTCGTCGGTGCGCAAGTATTCCGCCTCGCGTCGGTCAGGCAAACGGTCCGGAAAGTGAGGACCTGCCCGTCTCTGTAGCTCTGTAGCCCCGTAAGAGTCGGGGTAGTATCGACCTCTGAACACTTCAGCGGTTTCATAGCGACCGTATCTCTCTTCAACTCGGCCTCGAGCCTGAGACCCGTGATAGTGCTCCACATCTTGATATCGGTCGTCCTGAGGGACGGACCTTCGTCCGTGCTTTAGATCCCTCACCACCCGTTGACGTTCTGGATTGGATGTTTCGGATTTCTGCTGTCGCAGAGGCTCGTCGCGCTCTTGAGCCAGGTGTGACTCTAGAGCAGCAGTCAGACTGAAGTCGTCAGGCTGGTTTGCTCGTATCACCTTCGAGTGGTCGGCTACTGTCATGGAGCCGTCACTGCCAAGTAGCCTCTCTTGTGGTATTGTTGAGCTTTGCCTCGGCCCGGGACGGGGCCGGACAGGCTCTGCCTGGCCAGATTGATGGTATCTTGTTCCGCGCTCCATACTGTACCCCCTATCGGGCTCGATTGGCGATCCAGTAGGGTGCATTTCAGGAGCACGGATTTGTCCGCGAACGATGTTTCGTTCCTCGTTGGAAAGCCCCTGAGAGGAATATAGGCGATGGCCAGGGGGGAAATCACGGTGATGTCGACCATTCATCTCTGCGTGAGGTCCGTAACGGCTTGAAACTGAATGACGTGCTGTGCCGCTCTCCCAGTGAGAGCTGTGAGGCGCCGGCGGTCGAGTGTTACACCCCACTGCATCTGTCCCGCCGTGAAGATGATTTTCTTGATGGGTAGCTGCCGTCTCTGCAGCGTAGTCGGAATCTGACCAGCTGGGTTGCATGACGTCTCTGCCTGCTGGCAAGGTTGGATAAGTCGGTCCAGTGTCTTCGAACTGCCGAGACGAGCTGTCATGAGGATATCCGGAAGCTGGAAGCCACTGGGGCTTTGAACTGACGTCAGGCTTGGTAAGATTAAACACCCAAGGGGCAACCCCGTAGACAAGGTTGAATTGGTGACCCCTACTCCTAAGATTAGTCTGGAAAGCAGACATTTCATGCATTTCTGGCAGCAACACCATGTCCTGTGTCCAGTCTAAACCCGACTGGCTTTGCGACTCAACAGATGGCGCGTTAACGTGGCGATTCTCAAAGTGGTTGACGAGCTGTGGGAGAGAGAAACTCTTCCTGTCGTGACTGATGTACGGGGCGTTGCCCAAGCCCAATGTGCATGCTCGGCACAGGAGGCCATTGATGTTCCTGACAGGACGCATTTCCTTGTGGTTCGACAAGCCATCATTGAACATTCTCAAAGAGGGTATCTCGAAGTACTTCGACTCAAACCTATTCAATACCTGGTGGATAGTAACGTAGACTTTCAAAGGCCCCGGGAGGTCCTTGACACTGGAGAGGGAATTCCACACGCTTTTTGCGTTCTGGGCAAGATCGTCAAGTTGGGCGTGATAAGGACGCGGATACGGCATGTTTTGCGGTGCGGAGTACGGTGGCCGGGCCTGACCATGAAATCCAATACCATTGTGCTGATTCGGAACTGGTAAAGATGGCGACACCATAGTCGGAGGATATTCCGGTGCACCCGAGTAGTACTGCCCGTAGCTCGTAATGGCTAGAGGAGGCTGCAGTGCGCCGGTCGCGCCGTAGCCCAGAGAGTAAGGAGCGCGCGGAAAGGAGCCGTCGACAAAATACGCTGGTGGCGGACTATAAGGATCAAAGTGCTGGAACGGGTAAGTCGGAGGTAGTGCAGGTCCAGCTGAATCGGGGTGTGGCGGGAGCGAATGAGGAACGTTCCCGTTCGACGAGAAAGCATTCTTGTCTTGATGAGCTGGCACAGAGGATTTTGTATGTTGTTGCTGACTTGGGCCATGGCGTGAGTTCTTGGATCCTCGAGGATTGGGATTGAATGGTGGTTCTTCCGGCCATTCTGCTCGCCAATGAACCACGACGTTGCCTACGCTCAAAACTTTTGTGTGTTTTGCCGCATAGTGTTGTATGACGCCCTCGAAACCGTAAAATCTGTTGCTGTCGCAACCATTGCATAGAAACAGCTCCTTACGATATGACTCGGTGTGGGCTTTGATCTTCATATCAAAGACCCATTTCATATTTTCGAGTGTAAGTTTCTGTGTGAATGGTCCTTCTGGAGGATCGACTTGTGGTTGCCGGCCAGCTGCGAGTGCAGCCGCAGCATCTTCTGCCACATCTGCGTAAAATCTTGCCCGCACAGAGAGCAAGACCTCGGCAGCAAATCGCGGGCTGTTCTCTTTGTTGACCTTACGGCCTTTCCCCCAGGTATTGCGAATCATCTCGTCGGCGTACCTAGCCATCCTAGAGCGTACTGGTCCTTGGATATCATCCCAATCCTTATCAGTGACCTCCTTCGGTATTGAACCAGACGCCGCGACAACAGTCGTTTGACCCTTTTCAATGATTTCGTTCTCCCTTTCCTCGGCATCAGCTCGCTGAGCAAGCAGCCTAGGTCTCAGCAATTCCCATGCGTTGTCATCCACTGGCGCGGTGATCTGGATCGCAGCTTGGAAAGAGGGAACGTGAACAAGGACGTTTGGTGGCAGAGGGGGTTCGATCAACATAGCGCGTCGTTCAATCTCGGCACGCCGAAGGGCCTTGAGCGCAGCAGCTTCATCTCGCGTCTTCTCGGGGCGGCATTGAGAATCAACATGGCGTACGTTCGGTGGCTTTGACTGGCTCAATGTGTCGGGCGTTGTGGCAGTGCAAGGTCCATCTTGCGTTGTAAGATGGTGATGTTTCGAGATAGCGGTTAGGTTTCGTTGTACCGGAGTGCGTATTTCAGCTATGCCACCAGCAGCAGCCCACTTTTCCCATCTGAAGGCATCGATCCTAGAGTTTTTACCGCGAGCCTCCAGGCCTTTCAGCCATTCCTCGACTGCTGCAGAGCCTAGATTTTGAGCTAGACGAAGTTCGGCTTTTGCGTTCTCAATCGCAGGGCCCCAGAATATCTTCGTCGTTTGCGGACCTCCCGAGTTGGCAAAAGACGACAACACGTTTGGCGGTATGACGTGAAGTTCATTGGTGACAAACACGAACGGGAGAGCTGGGATGAGTGAAGAGGGTGTAGTGGACGAAAGCAACAGATCAATTTCCTAAGAGCAGTTAGTGTAAGTCCGTAAATGATGATGAGAGGTACTATGACTTGCTTTGACAGCGCTTTTCATAAGACATGGGCCGCAGCAAGTGGTGCCGAAAGCAAAAACAGCCGCGAGGCCGTCGATGCCTGGCCCGGCATGTCGGGGGTCAGTTTCGTCTCGCCATTGTGGATTGGCTTTGGCGACCCCGCAGCGTTGACAGAGGCCGGAACAGCAGATACGCCACATGTCGAGTTCGCTCCTATGTTGTAAAGGAGCAGGCATCCTGGGGCAGAACAACCTCCTCGACGATTGCCAGATGGCATCAGGGGTGAGAGACTTGGTATCCGAGGAGGGCTGGGGGACGCCAGGTGAATCAGACTCGAGGAGCTTGTTGAACAACTTGGCCGTCTGCATCAATTTGCCCAGGTCTCTGGGATGGGAGAAGGTCAAAATGCGCTGCCATAAAAATGAAGGAAGGCTTGACCAAGTTGTCTTGCCAGCCATGAGCCTCAGCTTCTTGCAGATACCATGACTATGTTGAGTATCATCAGCTTCCAGGACATTGTGTGGAGATTTCCGTTTGTTCCGCTGAGGTGGATTGTTTGACTCGTTTGAGTCGATCAGTTCGATATCCCCAGCAACATGAAAGCTATTGTCAATCAAAGTAGAGGGATTCTCCTGCTTTGAGGCGTTCTCCGATTGCGAGATCGTCGCATCAGAGGGAGAAGGGTCTTGCGACGACGGGACCTCCAATCCATAGCCAAGACTGCTACGGTTGGTAGAGGAGGCCGAGGAATCCATATTCTCCCGTAGTCCGAGTGAATGAAATGGCCAGCTGAACAAGAGATTGGCCGGCGATGGGAGACATCCGTTGCCATTAGCAACAGGAGCGTGGCAATGAAGGAAACGGGATGACGGGATTCGCGGAACGGAGGAGAGAACGAGGAGCATAAACACTTGTCAAGATGTTGATAGCGTGCGCCCTGGGCTAAAAGAACAGAATCATGAACCCGGGTTCACTAATCCTCCTGGGTTCGTTGCGCTCGTGGTGAGACTTTGAGAAGTGCTCAACCAGTCCTTACAGCTGTAAGAACAACGCGATAGACTGACGAGAAGTGGTCCTTGGGATCCTAGACAAGACGTCCCAGATGACCGGGTGTATTATGGGGAAGGCCAAGTCAACACCTACCTGTACAGCTTGCCGCGCACCGTCGGACGCAGCTGTACAAGAATATGCTTGGACGGGTAGCCGGGAAGACGGGGAAGACTGGGCAGACGGGAACCATGCGAGCATGGGCGAAGGCACTAGAGTGCTAACATGAAGATGTGAGATTGAGAAATCGAACAACGCGACGTGGCTCTGGGTGCGCCAGGTTAAAGAATCGTATTGGGCGCCGAGGATGTGATAGAGGTATGGTCGTCAGAGTCTCGCAAGGCAGGGCATTTATGGCGCGTTGATGGCTGCAACGAACATTGCCTACCTGGTATGGGCGGAGGGCCCTGTTGGTGCTTACTTAAGGCACCGACAGCGCTGACGTACGAACCCATCACGTGATCTGGATGAAATTGCGAGATGAGGTACGTATCTCAGACGTCAAGTCTCACCTTGAAGACCTCCAGAACTCACAGGTTCAGATTATTTATACTTGCCAATTGGCTGCACTATTTCGACCGCTTTTGTGTCCGAGACCAGTCGAGGAAGGAGTACTCAGACAAAAACGACCCATCATGTCGGCTCAGGGCTCCGAGATGAGTGAGTCCATACCGAAATAACTCTGAGCGTATCCTTGTACGATAGCACCACTGACCGGATTTCGCAGTCAACCTGGAGACGCTGGACGTGCAGCAGCTGAGCCAGGTCAAGAAACAATTAGAGGAAGAGTTGGAGCACCTGACATCGTCGTTTGCTCAACTGCACAGCGCCCAAGCTAAATTCAGGGAATGTCTCCGCTGTGTCAAGGCCCGCCCGGGATCAGATGAGGGTGCGTTATCTGTTTGCAACGGTCGGGATTCCGATGATTTTCGATTCAGTGCAAAGCTGACCGCTCCAGGCGAGAAGTCAGTTCTGGTCCCACTGACGAACTCGCTCTACGTGCGCGGCGAGTTATCAGATCCAAAGCACGTCATCGTCGACGTCGGCACGGGATTCTATGTTGAAAAGGTTCGACTGATTTACATGGACAATGTCAAGGTCACACTTGCTGACATGCGATGCATCAAAGGACGCAGATTCGGCTGAGCGCTTCTACGACGCCAAGGTCCAGCAGCTCCAGAACAACATTCAAGATTTGGAAACTATCGTTCAGCGCAAGACATCCAATGTCCGCAGCGTCGAAGATGGTAAGTTGCTCTCAGGGACATTGTCAGAAGAAGCAAATGTACTCACATTAAACAGTTTTAAGGCAAAAGGTGCTTCAGACACAGGCTGCATAGAGGATATGTTAGTGTGAGGGGCAATAAGGGCAAGCAGGTCCCAGATAGATAAATAAAAATAAATATAAAGCGTCTAAAATATATTAATCTTACTATAGAATATACTTAAATAAGGTATATCTTATAGACTAATTATATCTTTAATATATAGGTATACTTAAGTAGAGTCTATATACTATATATAATTTCTATAGGCGCTCTAAATTTAAACTTAATATAAATAGCTAGCTAAGTATAATAAATAGAAACTATTTTACCTTTAGTACTCTATAGTCTTATAAAACTACTACTAGTAATAATACTCTATTAAAACTAATATACTTTACTAATAGCCTTAATATTACTTTTCTATCTAGTTTATATATTAGTTTATACCTTTAGGTACTATATTATAATTAAACTTTACTTAACTTACTTTAGGTTTAGCTTATCTAACTAAGTAATAGCTATTTAACTATATAACTTATAATAATACTTATTTTGATTCTATTATATTAGCTATATTAAATATTGTCTATATATAAAAAAGGGTTTAATCTTTAGCTACTATATTATAATTAGAAACTATATATTTACCTAACTATAATAATAATAATAATTATAATAATAATAATTATAATAATAATAATAATAATAATAATAATTATAGTTTTTTTATATCTATTAAATACTTCAATACTTTTTCTTTAAGTAACTTCTCTTAGCTATTTATTAATAAGAATAATTAGCTTTAAAGCTATTAAGTTAATACTTTATTATATTATTATATTATTATATTATTATATAATTATATTAGAAATAGAGGTATAGCTTTATTTATAAAGCTAAGAGGTTATATAATAAGTACTAAAACTAAATTAATACTTATAACTTAGATTTTATAACTAGAATATAACTAGAAATATATATAGTTAGTTATATATATATATATTAATTAGTTAGAGAATTAAGTCTTTTTTATTTTATTTAACTTAATATATATTAGCTAATTTATAATAATTATAAATTTAGCTCTAATTAAATAAATTATTTAGATATATTTTATAATAGTCTCTTTAGAGAAACCTAAAGGTAGGTATAGTAATATAAAGTATAAAAAGTCTATTTTATTTATCTACTATATAGAGAGCTATTTATATTAAGGCTAGGTTCCTAAGGGGACTATATATCTATAGGGACTATATACCTATAGGGACTATATACCTATAGTACTAATCTATATTATTTAGCCCCCCTCTAGATAAAAATAAATACTATTTATAATATATTTTTAAGATATATTAAACTATCTATTTTAAAAGCTCTTTTTAATTTTATTTTTAAGCTATTTATATATTTTTAATATTTTACTCTTTTTTTTCTATTTTCTCTTAATTTATTTTTATTTTATTATTTTATTTTTCTTATTTAGAGAATTTATTAAGGTAGTTACTAAAGTAATAGGTTTTTAGTCTTTTTATAGTAAATAGAAATCTATAGTCCTTATAGCTTAAGCTAATTAATATATACTTTTTATTCTTATAAAATTTATATTTATCTCTTATTAACTTATTAAAATAAATAATCTTTTTCTTAAACTTAATACTTTAATACTTATCTATATAGTCTTTATAATAGTCTATAGTTAATTAAATACTATAGATATAGTAAATTTATAGCTTATCTTTATAGTTCTCTATAATATATTTATACTTAATATTTACGTTTTAGAGTAAATTATTATAATTATATTTAATATTAAGATTATTATAGAGTAAGCTTTAAATCTATATTCTTAATATTATTATAATATAAATCTTATTAATAGCTTTATATTTTAACTTAATTTAATTATAAAGTCCTTTTAGCTAATAGATTTATTTATAGTTATATTAAATTTATTTTATATAATATTATTAAGTTATATATTTTAATATCTTTTTAATATCTATATTAATAATACTTTTAAGTTAATAGTTATATAAAAGAGGGTCTTTAATATTTAAGTTATAAGTCTTAAAATTATTTAAGTTATTATTATAAGTTAGCTAGTATATATTAAGTTAAATAAAATAAAAAGGCTTAATTCTCTAACTAATTAATATATATATAGGACTAACTATATATATTTTTAGTTATACTCTAGCTATAAGATCTAAGTTATAGATATTAATTTAGTTTTAATATTTATTATATAACTACTTAGCTTTATAAATAAAGCTATATCTCTATTTTTAATATAATTATCCTTTATATTAATAATATAATATAAATTTAATAAAAAACCTTTTAAAATATATTTTTAAAGCCCTCTTAAAGCTAAATAACTTACTTTTATATTTATTAAAAAGTATATCTCTAAATAATAAAAACTTTTTTTATTATTATATTAATTTAAAGTAGCTTTTAGAATAATAAAGTAGATATAAATAATATTAATATTTTTACTTTTTATTTTAAATTAACTATTAGCCTTTATATATTTTATTAATTAATTATTAGTTATTAATATAGTTTTAAAGAGATATTTAATTCTTTTTTTATATATCTATTAATTAAAAACTTCTTTTTTTTTAGTTATTATAATAATAACTATAAATATATTAAATTCTTTTTTTTATATTATAATATTTTAATTAATTCTTTATTTTAATATTATTATTATTATAATAGCTCTCTCTTTTAAAAAGACCTATAAGTCCTCTTTTAATTCTTTAGATATATATATCTTTATATATTTTCTTTATATCTAAAAGTATTTAATTTTTTATTATAGATATTAAAGATTATATAATTTAATAAAGCTTTTATACTCCCTTTAAAAAGCTTTTATTATTCTTTAAATAGTAATAAACTTTTTTAATTTTTTTATTTTTTGTTTTTTTTTTAGTTTTAAATATAATAAGTTATTAATAATTTAGATAATAAGTTTATTAAAGACTTTAACAAAGTAATTTTTCTTTAATATTTTATTTTTTATATTTTTTATATTTTATTTATTTTTAATAATAATAATAATAATATTTCTAATTTAATTTTTTATTTTAATAAAGGTATTTAAAACAACTTTAATAAAAATAAAGAAATAAGTCTTAATAATAAGATTAAAATATATTTTATTTATATCTTCTCTACACTTTAAGATAAAAATAAGTATTTTAATTATAATAAGTATATAAATAAATATATTTATAGATATTAATAATATTATAAAAGTAATTATTAATATTAATTTAGTCTCTTTAAAGCTATTACTTCTATTTATTATTTTTAATATACTTTTTATAAGCTTAATAACTTTAAATAAAATTATATTATTGAAAAGATATATTTTATTTATTCTATAAAAATTATTATTACTAATTACTTTTAATATTATATTAAAACCTATATTACTATATATATTATTTTTAATTTAAAAAATAATTTTAAATCTAAAAGAATAAATAATATTTCTTATTATTTTTATTTTATATTTAATTTATTTTAAGGGTACTCTTAAGCCTCTTTATATATCTTTTATAGCTCTTTTAACCTTAATAGCTTCTTTCTCTATTAAATATAACTCCTTTTTTACTATTTATTAAAGCTTTTTATATTTTAAGTTTATTAAAGCTTATTAAGCTATTTATAATATTTTTTATTCTCTTAAAGAGTAATATAGTTTTATAATATATAGTTTTATAATATAATTAATTTTTAAGTAATAGATTTTATATTAATATTAATATAAATAATTTAATATTTTTAGAGGCTTTTATATCTATTTATAGAGTATTATTTATATTAATATATATTACTTTGAAATCTAAATATATTTAGTTCTCTTTATTTGTTTTTGTAATTAGTTTATATATATCTATAAAATTAAGAAATCCTTTAAAATATTTAAATTTTATTCTAGAAAATATCTTTATAAATCTATTAAAGTAGCCTTTAACTACTATATTATATTCAGAAACTATATATTTAATTAACTTTAGGTTTAGCTTAGCTAATTAAACTAATTAATAGCTATTTAGTTATATAACTATATATAAGCTATTTCTATTTTAGCTATTATTTTATTACTTTATACTTTAACTTCCCTTATTATAATAATAATAATAGACTTTTTTATTATATCTCTAATACTTTAGAAGATACCTTTAATACTTTAGATCTCTTCTTTAGTATTACTCTTTTTTATTATTTACTAACTAATTAACCCTTTTAACTATATAGCCTTTAGGTTGATATATTATTATTAATTAAACTTTTTAAAAGACTTTTAGCTTACTTTTAATATTTAAGCCTATTATAATTCTATTACTTATTATTAATAATACTATTAATATAAATAATTTTAATCTATAGAACTTATAGATTCTTAACTTTAAACTTAAGATCTTTAGCTATTTAAAAGAAATCTATAAGATATTTATAAGTTAATAAAGTATTATTAATATTTAAAATAAATACTTTAATAATATTAAGATCTTTATTCTTAAGCTTATTAAGAGTAGGTATAATAATACTCTCTTTATTAAAGTTTAAAGCTAATAATATAGCTTTATAAATAAAGAGAGTTAAAATAACTTTTATATTATATATTAAATTATTATATTTATAGCTTTTAATACTTTAAATACTATAAATATATATTACCTTTTTAATATTATTATTATTATGCTTATTATATAGTATATTAAGTTAAATAATATTTATTCTAGAGGATTTAAATATAGTAATAAATAAAATAAAGAATAAGCTTTTAGTTTAAAATAGCTAGCTTTTTATATCTACTTAATAATATAATAAAAATACCTTATTAGCTACTCTTTTAGCTAAAGGACTATAAGGGTATTATAAAAAGGGACTTATAATTAGAATATTTAGTATTATTATAATAGATTTAAGCTATTATTATTACTTATTAGTAATAAAGCTTATTACTCCCCCTTTTCTTATAGCTCTTATAAACTTATATATACTTAAAGACTTTAGTTAAGCTAAGCTTATAAATTAATATTGATTTAATT